ACAGCCAAAGGAGCTTCCTTAGGAAAGTCTGCCCAGTGTCTCCCAGTGGGGGAAATAAGTCTCTGGTCCTGTGTGAAAGGAGAGCACTTCTCGTGGCTACTTATTGTTAGTGGAGCTTCTGATTAATCCCCTTTGCTGGTGGTACTGGCCTGGAGTTGTTGGAAATATTCCTGTTCAACTTGCAGGAGAAATGAGCCTATCTGGGCTTCCTCTGTTGCCAGGTTGGGGGTCAGGGTCATCTTCTCTTGGGGCGCATGTAAAACACACGGCTGCTGAGTAGTTCCTTCCTTCTCAGGTCCCGAACCAATTCATCATTCTCTTGTCAGAGTTATGCTTTGATGCCATTATTTTACGGTTTATATTTATACATTATCTTGTCTAAGATATAAGTTGTCTTTTCGATTATTTTTAAAAGCGGAGAACCAAAAAGCTCATTGAAAATTCAACACGTGTGAAGGGACAGCGTCCCTATAAGGTGATCTGGCCAGGTTGTCTTTTAGAGGTCCCTCAGTTTTTGCTATCTTTTGTTTTCCTCTTGGGCAGTCATATCACTCAATTACGATTCCCTGTCTGCAGGGCATCACCAGGCTGCCAGCCTTGGGGGAACCGAGTGGGAGCAGGAGCTGTCCAGTTAGAACATGGAGTTGCTCCTTGTTGGGTGTGTGGGAGACTCCCCCTTCATCATGGAATCCCTTACCCCTCCCCCTCCTCTCCAAAGGGCGCCAAGCCCAAGAGCGCCAAATTCAAAGGTTTTCTCAACCAATCCGCGCAGGACACGGTGTCTGATCGCTGTTCCTGAGTCACCCTGCCAATCAGCACCCGCCACGTCACCTAGGCAACCCTTCTTAAGCCCAAGCTTGCAAGCTCTCTGTCTCTGCCCTCTTCTTCTTCTTTCTCTACTCTGTTTCTCTTCCTTCCTCTCCTCTCTCTGCCCTCTGCCTCTCCTTTCCGGGCATCCCCCCAATAAATCTCTTGGTTGAATCTCTGTCTCGGGTGAGTCACTTGCCTTTCACTCGTGATGGCCCTGTTTTCACCTGATATGGCCACCGCCAGCCCTCCTGGGTGTCTGTCAAGAGCTCTCTAGTTTGTCTTCTCTAGAAATGAAACCTTTAGCTCTGCCCAGGTGCTTTGGTGTGTGTTGTGTCTCACTGCTTCTGAACATGTCTTAAAACCAATCCTCCTGTTTTCAGCCTTCTTTACTTTCAGGCTCTGGCGCTGCCAACTCTGGATCTGTTCTGGGGGTTCTAATGAAGGTAGGGGTTGCACCTGAGTTTCCATTGCTCTCTCAGGTGGTAAGCTTCTCTTCACAAATCGCCCACTCTCCACAGTCCATGGTGTGTGGCTGGTTAGTAAGTCCTGGGAGTTCCCATTATGTATTTGTTTTCTTTTGATTTCTCTACTTTAATTGTAGTAAAGTTCCAGGAAGAAGCAAAAGAAATGTGTGAATTTAATATGCCATCATTAACTGGGAGACTTTCTTCACTTCTATCAAATGAGAGTGTAGGTCAGAAGCAGTGTTAAGTAGGTTCCATGAAAATGAGTAAGGCATTACGTCCATGAAAGGAGGATGGAGAGTTTGAGCCCAGCCCAGGCAACTTAGTGAGACCCTGTCTTGAAATCAGAAAATAAAATTTAAAAAGGTGGTGGTGGGGGGGCTGGTTTTGTAGCTCTGTGGTAGAGCACTCACCTAACATGTGCAAGGCCCTGGGTTCAACCCTCACTACTGCAAAAAACAAAATCAAAACCAAAAAAATGCAAAGAAACCAAGGATTTATTTGCAACCCCCCCCCAAATCTCTAAGGTCAGATCTCATTACCACCCATGATTTACACCCTGCTCCACCTCTTAAAGTCCACCACCACACTGAGGACTAAGCCTCCAACATAATCTTTAGAAGGACATATAAGGACATATCAAGCAATGACTTGATAGTTGCTAGAAGCAGGGTGACAGGTACACAAGATGTCAGAATATCATTCTCTCTACTTTTATATGTTTCTGCATTTTCTATAATTATAATCTAAAATAAACAGTGGATCTCCATTTCATTCAGAGAAAAAAACCCAAAGTCCTCACAGTGGCCCACATGGCCCTTGTTTTAGTCATATTTTTTGCTGCTGTGACTAAAAGCCCCAACCAGAACAATTGGGGTGGGGGGGGGCTGCCGAGGATTGAACACAGGGGCATTCGGCCACTGAGCCACATCCCCAGCCCTATTTTGTATTTTATTTAGAGACAGGGTCTCACTGAGTCGCTTAGCCCCTTGCTTTTGCTGAGGCTGGCTTTGAACTTGAGATCCTCCTGCCTCAGCCTCCTGAGCTGCTGGGATTACAGGCATGTGCCATCATGCCTGGCCCAACCAGAATAATTTTAGAGGAGGAAAGTTTATTTGAGGGCTCACAGTTTCAGGGATCTTAGCCCATTGAAGGCTGGCTCCATTCCTCTGGGTTTGAGGTGAGGCAGAACATCATGGCAGAAGACTATGGTTGAGGGAAATGGCTCACATGATGATCAGAAGCAGAGAGAGAGAGACTCCACACTCCAGATACAAAATATATACCCCATAGCCACACCCCCATGAACTACTTCATCTAGCCACATCCCACCAGCTTCCAGTCACCACCCAGTTAATCCCATCAGGGATTAATTTACTGGTTAGGTTAAGGCTTAACACAATCATTTCTCTTCCAAACCTTTCACTGTCTCACATGTGAGCTTTTGGGTGACACCCCACATCTAAACCATAACAGCCCTACCTGACGTCTCCACCCTCACCTCTTCCCCAATCTCCTCCTACCTCTCTCCTCATTCACCGCTGCAACCCCACTGGCTTCCTTGCTGTTCCTGGAAAACACCAGGTGCTCTCCTGCCTCAGGATGTTGCTTCCCCTGCCTGGAAACCTCTATGGTTTGAACCTAACCAAATGGAGTCCTTTCAGGGAGTCCACCTGGAGTCCTCCATGTGAATTTCTACGACTTCAATCTATTGCTCCCCACGTTCCCTTCTCTGCATCACTTGTCTCCACAGCCCGTCTTCACCATCCAAAGTCCTATATCAATTTTTTTATGTGTTGCTGTCCCCTCTTAAGATCCACTCCCAACAAATGCAAGTTCCATAAAGACAGAAATTCCTGCCCAATTCATTCACTGCTCAGTCCTCAGCATTTACAACAGTGCACAGTAGGTTCTCGAAGAATGAAAATGTGCAAGTCACGTATAAATATTCTAGTGGAACGCCTCCTAGGGAGTGAGCACTATGGGATTCATCATTCTCTAAAAATACCTCATTAAGTCATTTGATAAGTATAAGCGAATTCTTTAGTCAGTACCTTTGATCTTGGATATATATAAGAGGAAAATAAGGTCATGATTACTGGAGATTTTTGTTAATCTTGGGAAGCAGCACTGTAGAAAAGGATTCCCCCAGCCTTCAGAGGTGGGCAGATCTGCTTTAGATCCTGAGTCAGTCATGTGGTCATTGTGTGACTAGGCTAAAATGCTGAGCCTTTAAGGCCTGTCAATGAGGACATTGACAGTGCTTGCTAGAAAGGCTTTTCAGTCCAAGGCTGGTTTGGGGGCTCACCACAGGTCCTCCCTGAGTGAACCCTTGCACTTTTAATAAGGTAGAAAGGATCCCCTCTGGGACCTGCTGGTGATGTGAGTGATGGTCAGATGCACTGCTCAGAAGAGACAGGCTGTGGCATTTCAGAGATCACAAAAGGGGAGGTGACTCAATCCTGGCCCAGCCCGAGGTCCTCTCTCCTATCCCCCTGCCAAAGCACAAGGTTATAAACAAATGACTCAGAGGAATGATGGGGGAGTGCCCCATAAGAGTTCATACCAGTGTCCTGAGGCTAAATTTAACCTACAGCTGCAGCCTCGGGCAATTTGGGAACAAGTTAATCTTGGTGGTGTGTGTGTGTGTGTGTGTGTGTGTGTGTGTGTGTGTGTATGCGCATGTGCGCTTGTGCTGTGGGGGGAAAGGATGATCAGGAGTAGGGTGGGCATTGAGGCTGACTGTCCTGGGTCTCAACACTGATGCCTTAGAGCACAAGTGGGGGCAGGAAAGGAGAAGCCTAGTAGGGACCAAGGAAAATGAGCCCAACAGCCAAAGTCCTGGAATATTAAAGATTTAGGCATTACTCTTTTGACAATAGAATTCACAATAGCACTCCCCTAGAATGTCAAACCCCTGTGTCTAAACACCTAGAATAGTAGATCCTAGGGAGAAATTTTTCTAGCATGCCTGACCCCTTAGAATGCTAAAAACCATCTGTGCACTCCAAGGAACACAGGACCTCGGTGCTTCCAACCCTCATCAGACTGGACTGAGACCCTTAGAGTCCAATTCTCTATCTTCTCATTGTATGGGAGGGAAAACAAACGCTTGACAGAGAAATCCATCCTGTCCCGAGCTCCACAGGAAAATGGTGGCTATCTTCAAAGCAGGAGGATCTCAGAGTTGGGGAAGAAAAAAGGAAAAGGTCTTCCCATTTTATAGGTGAAATTCCACACCCAGGTTCTTGGAGCAGAAAACATGTTGGGTCCAGGGTTTTCCAGAGTTAGATATGCTCCAGAGAGGGAGGTGGAAGTACAGAGAGTGCCCAGGCCCAAAAGGCAAGAAGAAAGGGGGACCCTTAAAGAGAGGCTCTCATGCTTCCCCATTCTCCCAGAGTCACAGCTTGAGCCACCCTCTTTCCTTGAGGAAGCTCCAGACCAAGAAATCCAGAGTCAGGGTCTGGATGTGCATTTTTTGGAAATGAGGCAGGAAAGCCTACATCTTTCCAGGAAAGCCCAAACACCCACCTTTGCAGCATGAGCCCCCAGGGTTGAGTCAAGGCTTCTCCAAACACCTCACCCTTGCCCCATGAGCCCCCAGGGCTGAGTCAAGGCTGTTCCAGGAGGGGCCTCTGTCCAGCTGTCTCCTGTGCGTCATGTGCAGGAGGCCCAGCAGCTCATCTTACAAGCCAGGGCCACCTTTATATATAGCCCTGTGAGGACAGCTGCGCAGTCTGAGGGCTGCCCAGCAGAAAATCAGGGGTGCAGAGAGGAACACTTGGCACTAAGGGCCCCCACCATGACTCTGGGCTTGGAACAAGCGGAGGAACAGCGGCTGTACCAGCAGACGCTCCTGCAGGATGGGCTCAAGGACATGCTGGACCACGGCAAGTTCCTGGACTGTGTGGTGCGGGCAGGAGAGCGCGAGTTCCCGTGCCACCGCCTGGTGCTGGCCGCCTGCAGCCCTTACTTCCGGGCACGCTTCCTGGCTGAACCAGAGACCGCTGGCGAACTGCGCCTGGAGGATGTGTCCCCAGACGTGGTGGCCCAGGTGTTGAACTACCTGTACACGTCAGAGATCGCGCTGGATGAGGCAAGCGTGCAGGATCTGTTCGCCGCAGCGCACCGCTTCCAGATCCCGTCCATCTTCACCATCTGTGTGTCCTTCCTGCAGAAGCGCCTGTGCCTAGCCAACTGCCTGGCCGTCTTCCGTCTCGGCCTACTACTCGACTGTGCCCGCCTGGCGGTGGCTGCCCGCGACTTCATCTGCTCGCGCTTCACGCTGGTGGCGCGCGACGCCGATTTCCTTGGGCTTTCGGCCGATGAGCTCATAGCCATCATTTCCAGCGATGGCCTCAATGTGGAGAAGGAGGAGGCGGTGTTCGAGGCGGTGATGCGGTGGGCTGGCAGCGGTGACGCCGAGGCGCAAGCAGAGCGCCAGCGCGCGCTGCCCACGGTTTTCGAGAGCGTGCGCTGCCGCCTGCTGCCTCGCGCCTTCTTGGAGAGCCGCGTGGAGCGCCACCCTCTCGTGCGTGCCCAGCCGGAGTTGCTTCGCAAGGTACAGATGGTGAAGGATGCACACGAAGGCCGCATCACCATGCTGCGCAAGAAGAAGAAAGACAAGGGGAAGGAGACTGCTGGGACCAAGGAGGCTGACAAGGGCTCAAATGAAGCCAAGACAGGGGAGGATGAAGAGGATGAACGTGTCCTGCCTGGGATTCTCAATGACACACTCCGCTTTGGCATGTTCCTGCAGGACCTCATTTTCATGATCAGTGAGGAGGGTGCAGTGGCCTATGATCCAGCAGCCAACGAGTGCTACTGTGCCTCTCTCTCCACCCAGATCCCCAAGAATCATGTCAGCTTGGTCACCAAGGAGAACCAGGTCTTTGTGGCTGGGGGCCTCTTCTACAACGAGGACAACAAAGAGGACCCCATGAGTGCTTACTTCCTGCAGGTGCCTGGCTGATCTTGGGAGGGACCAGCTAGTGCTGTGTTCTGGGCACTGAGGGGCAGTTTTGGGGCCCAGGAGAGGTCTGTGTCTACTTGAGGGCATTTTACTGCGTCTAGAGTGAGATAGTAGACCAGGGATGTTTACTGACATCCACTTGCCTGAAAGTTGAAGATAGTTATAGGCAGCTGCACAACTTTGGTCTCTCGGTTCCAGAAGGATGTTAGGTCCAGATTGGAGCATATTGGGAGTTCTAGCCCTACACAGTGGTTGGGTTCAGGCACAGTGAATAGGAGGAGCAAGGCCAGTGTAGGGAGGAGCATTTGCATGAGCATTTGCAAGTCGTGGGACAGGACTTGGCATATGAAACACATAGTGTCCTAGATCGACCATCCTGCCTAATCCTCTCATTGTACAAATGAGGAAACTGAGACTGAGGAAGGATCAGGACAGTGGAATGCTCAGTCCAAGTTGGGGGTTGTTACTCTGGAATCTCAGGGGGCAGGAAGAATTTCCTGGAGACTAGCAGTGTAGGTTTGAGCCTTTCTAGTTGGGTGGAATTTGGAGATGGAAAGGGGAAGGTGGCAGTATTCCTGATCACAGAACGGTGAGCAAGGGACAGAGACAGGACTGGGATATAGAAAGCTGAGGGGGTGAGGGAATCCTGGTGCCACGGTTAAGCTCACTGGCTTCGATGGGGCCTAATCATGGTTGTGAGGGGCAGCTCCAGCAGCCAGGCCAGCAGTGAAGTCACTGTTTATTTTCACTGAGCCTCTGTTTGTCAATAGGAATTATTCTTCCTGCTTGATAAGGTTGTTTGAAGGTTAACGATGCTAATGAAAGTGCTCATCAGCATAGCCCTCAGCTCTCAGAAAATGTTCCAATAAGATGAGCCACTAGTATCTTTATTATAAGAATATGGAGGTCGACAGGGCTGAAGACTGTAGATTTTAAGGATGTTTTTAAGGAGGTAGGGTTACTTTGAAGTTTCCAGAGCAGAGCAGAGGGCAGGCAGGCCTAAGAGGAAATGGCACTAAGCAAGGGCCAAGATCACTGTCGGACCTTTCTCCTCAGTTCTGTGCCCTGGTGCCCCATTATGGTGCTACTTCTCGGCTGCTCTCTGCCCAATGATGGGATGGCAGAGGGGCACCGCCTCCAGGGCCGCCTCCAGACTGCGTTGGCCCGCAGGGAGCCCCTACTCCTTTCTGACCCGAGGTGGCTGGGCTGGGCTGGGGGCGGGAGCGGGGTGGGCGGTGGCTGACTGGACGCCCCGCCCACAGTTTGACCACCTGGACTCGGAGTGGCTGGGCATGCCGCCGCTGCCGTCTCCGCGCTGCCTCTTTGGTCTGGGAGAGGCTCTTAACTCCATCTACGTGGTCGGCGGCCGAGAGCTCAAGGATGGGGAGAGCAGCCTGGACTCGGTCCTGTGCTACGACCGGCTGTGAGCGTGGGCTGGGGCGGGCCGGGTCCTGGGGAGGGGCTGTGGATCGAGGTGGGAGCCCGGAGTCCTATACAGTCCTCGACCGCTGGGAGGGGCAGAGGAGGCGAGTCCTGGGCAGGAGCGTAGGTGGGTGGGGCCCAAGGGGAGTTCCTGGAATGCTTCGGGTGCACCCCGAGTGAGTGTTGGGTGGGAAGGTGAACCAAAGGCCGGGATTGGGCGCACCCTTGAGTCGGGCATCCGCCCCTTGCGTCTCCTCTAGGTCCTTCAAATGGGGCGAATCGGACCCTCTGCCATACGCAGTGTATGGCCACGCTGTTCTCTCCCATATGGACCTCGTCTACGTCATTGGTGGCAAAGGCAGCGACAGGTGAGGCTGGGTCCCCGAGCGTGTCTGCTTCAGCAGAGTTGTAGGTTCCAGCGAAAGCAGAATTCTCCTGAGGCTGGAGGTTTGTCCCCACTGTCCTGGGAGGCGGCCAAGGGCGGGGAGGCTGTATTCAGGCCTCCCTCTAAGCACTCATCCATCCACCCCACAGGAAGTGCCTCAACAAGATGTGCGTCTATGACCCCAAGAAATTCGAGTGGAAGGAACTGGCACCCATGCAGACTGCCCGCTCGCTCTTTGGGGCCACCGTCCATGATGGCCGCATTTTTGTGGCAGCGGGGGTCACCGACACAGGACTGACCAGTTCCGCAGAGGTGTACAACATCGCAGATGACAAGTATGTGGCTTTGGGCCTATGTCAGTCCTCCCTGTGTCTGCCCTGGCAGGAGTCATAGCCCCTGTCTTGGGTCCCTGCTGTTGATTTGGAACATCCCCACAGTAGTCCCTCTCTGATCAGCAGATAGGTGGGGAGGGGGCTTCCCCATGATGTAGGGCAGGGTTATGGGCTGCAGGGTCTGCAGGAGGGAGCTCCCAGGTGGAGGAGACAAGGGATACCAGGTTCCTCATTCAGAGACTCCTACCAGGCAATGGCCTTGTGCTAGTGAAAGACCAGTGAGGGAGACAGGAGCTGCCCTGCTGGGATATCAGGAAAGAAAAAATGGAGCTGACCTCCAGCTGGGCTCAGCCAGCAATAGTGGGAGAAGCCAGTTCTGGGGCTGGGTAGGTGACCAGAAGGGCTGAGACACTTTATTCTGAGACTAATGAAATGCCTTTGATGGGTTTTAAACTCCACCTGTTTTTCTAACATGCCTGTGGCAGCTGATGTAGAGAGCAGATCAGGGATTTTCTAGGAGGCAAGGGGGCCTGAGGGGTGCGGGGTGCAGCTGTAGCAAGAGGTAATGGAAGCCTGGAGCCTGGAACTGGGGTGCAGTGGGGAGGAGCCACTGGAGGACTTAGGCCAGGGCCTCTCTGGCTGTAATACACAGAAATCTCCCTAGTGTCGTGTTAATATGCAGATTCTGGATTTCAGATATGGGGAGGGGCCTATATTTCTAAGAATACCCTGGTAATGTTGGTGCTGCAGGCCTAGGGACCACCCTCTGAGTAGCAATGGTTTAGGAGATGAAAGAAGGAGGGCATAGTGATGATCTGGATGTTGGGGCAAGAAAGAAGTGGATGCTTTTGAGTGAGAATGGGAGGCCATTTGTTGGGGAAACATTGGGGTTTAGATGGCAAGAGTGAAGGTCCAGACAGGACATGTGGACTTGAGATGCCTGCCTGAGGCTGTCCAGGAGGAGCCTACAGGGGCAGAAAGGGGGCTGAGGTAGAGAGAGAGATTGAGGGCCCAAGAGTACAGAGGGGACAAACTTCATAAGGAGGGGGAGTGCCCATGGCAGGAGCAGAGGTCCAAGCCCCAAGGAATGATGGGAGAGATGCATTATCCAGGAAGAGTAAGAGAAGCTGACCCTGGAGAGGCAGGAGGTGAGGACAGTCACCTCTGTAGTGGCAGGCCGTGGGCCCTGGATTTTACAGCCCTGGGGTGGATGGGGCTTTTGGAGGGTAGGAATGAAGGCCCAGCTGCAGGAGCCAGGGAGTGAGAAGAGTTAGGCTGCGAGAGGAGACAGGAGTGCAAGGGAACAGGGGCTTAAATGGCCACTGAGGAGCCAGGGGAATGTGTCCAGGGCAGTTCTGGGGGCCTGCTGGGGGCTGGGATCCTGAGTTAGCAGGCAGGAGTTAGTTCAGGAGAGAAGAGGGACATGGGAGATCCATGGGGGACTTTGCTGGGCCAGTTGGATAAATGACAAGGGGGCAAGGAAGGGAAAAGGGAGGAGCAAGAGAATGGGGGAGGAGGTGAATCCAGAGGGGCCCCCGAGAACAGAGTCAGGATGAGCTGAGGCCCAGGCAGGGGCACCGGGCAGGCACCCAAGAAAGTCTGGAAACAGGAAGCTGCCCTGGGAGTGTGAGAGGCTAGGACTCAGATTTCAAAGGGTGCCGCTGGAGTTGAGAGCACCCGGATAGCAGGGACAGGCCCCCTAGGTGATGCACCTTCTCACCCCACTGCCACAGGTGGGCACCCTTCGAGGCCTTTCCACAGGAGCGCAGCTCACTCAGCCTGATTAGCCTGGTGGGCACCCTCTATGCCATTGGTGGCTTCGCCACACTGGAGACTGAGTCCGGAGAATTGGTCCCCACAGAGCTCAACGACATTTGGAGGTGAGCCTGGCCCCAAGGAATCAAGGGGGAATTCAGAGCTAGGCTGATTTCCCCACAGCCTTGCAAGCTCATGTGTGGGCAAAGCTGATCCCTCTTCCAGGGAATTTTGGGGGAAGGAATAAGAAACACACCCGACTCGCCCCATTTCTACCAGTGGGTCTAGATTTGCACATGTGGTACCTGCCCCACTGAGGAGGTCCAGCAGTGCTGCAGATGGGAGCTGACCCTCAGCTTAGGGTACAGACCCACAGACACAGGGCCCAGGTAGCAGCCAGGCCTCTCATCCCCGTTTTCTGGGTGTTTGGTCTAGAGGAAAGTGAGACCAGGACTAGGAAATAGTTGGACCCCAGCCTCTCAGCCATTGCTTCCCATGGCTTGTCCTTCATGGGGGTAGGTGGAAGAGGCTCAGCCACCTGGGGCATACCTGAACCTTCAGTCACTTGGTGCTGCAAGTGGCCTCTGGAGGAGTAGGGCTGCTAAGGGAGTGGGGTGCGAGGGACTTCTGGAATGTTGAATACGGAACTCTCGGGAGGACAGGGTGGGTGTGTGTGTGGGGGGGCCAGTGTAGATCTTCCTGGAGGGAGGTGGATTTTGAGGAGTGTGGGAACCCTGGAGAGGTGGCCTTTCCTGAGGAGGTAGCTCTGGATTATGGGGTGGATTTTCTTGGTGGTGACTCTTTGGGAGGCCCCCTTCCAAGAGCATGGGAATTTCCAGGTATCTAGAGATAGACCTGGGCTGGGGTACACTTCCTGGAGATGGGTGTAGTGTACCCAGCCAACCCTCCCTGCTGGGTCCCATTTTGGACTCAGCTGATGAAGCTCTTCACCCTTGTCCCCACTCTTCCCCCCACCCCAGATATAACGAGGAGGAGAAGAAGTGGGAGGGCGTCCTGCGGGAGATCGCCTACGCAGCCGGCGCCACCTTCCTGCCTGTGCGGCTCAACGTGCTGCGCCTGACTAAGATGTGACCAGCCTAGAGGGACCTAACTAAGAACCCCTCCCATCCCACAGCCCTCACAGTCCTGACCTTGTGGGGTTCTAGGGAGGAGGCTGGGAGAGGCAAGAGCCCACCTGGATCCGGTTATGGTGCCCGAGGGGCTGCTTCAGCCAGAGAAGGGCTGTTGCTGCCCAGTGTTAGCCTTTCAGGCAGGGAGGAGAAACTCAGGGCCCCTCCAGGGTTATCATATTTATCCTGGGTCCTCCTGGCTCATAAGCCATTATCACAGGGGAGTATCCAAGGCTGTGTCCTGGCCATGCCCCCAGTCTGGCCATGTGTGCAGGTAAAGTTTCCCACAAGACACGGTCCACTTGCCCATCTGATGGGAGTGTCCCCATCAAGTGCAGCTTGCAGTGTGGGTACGTCTCCTTCTTCAAGAAGAATAAAATACCTTCTAAGCGAGTAGTTCAGGGTCTGAAATCAGGTTCTCCAAGAGTCAATAATCAGGTGGTTTGAAATTTCGGGCCTTAATATTCTGCTTTTGGGTTGTCAAGGTGGGAGGTCTTCCCCTCATGTGCTGTCCCTTTCACACTGTGTGGGACCCCCTCCTGGAGACCTGGAAACTCCAGCTCTTCAGCCAGGATGGACAAGGAGCCAGGAGATTGCTGGGAACAAGGGGAAGGGAACAGCCCAACTGTGGTAGAAAAGTCTTTTATTCTGTCAATGAGGCCCTGTCTGGCCCCGCCTGGGCCTGGGACCCAGGAGCACCCTCCCACCTACTCTAGCTTCTCTTTGTCCTGCCTCTGCTCCTCCTCCAGTGCCAGGGTTCGCTCACGTTCCTTCACCAGCTGGACACCACAGTAGGTGACAAACAGGATGGCCAGCGTGGTCTGGGGGAACCCTGTTGGGGAAGGAGTCATCAGTGCCTACAGCAGCCCATCCGCAATGACTTTTCTCTTCCCATCCCTCTCCCCATTGGATGGCCCTCTTTGCCCAGTCCCTGGGGTATTGGGGTATGGAAGGAGCATTTTAGAAGGTCACAGTCCTTGAGGTTGATGTATCCCAAACCCATCTCTCACCTGTAAGTAGCAGACGTCGGGCGACCAGTTCTGTGAACTCGAAGCTGTTCAGGCTCACAAGGTTGTACATGATGATGGCCCAGAAGTTTATGGCCCCACAAAGAGCCCGGACCCTACGGGACATCTGCTCTGACAGACGGGCCTGCCCAGTTCAGGAGAGCGATGGCAGCAAGGTGAGAGGCCCAAAGGAAAGAGGACATGGTTAGTCAATGGCCTGGCCTACAGGGCCACTTGTCCTGGGGATATTCACGGGTGTCTGGGAATCCCAGGCCAATTCTTCGTCATTATTAAACACGGGGAAACTGAGTCCTGGGGAGAGGATAAGAACTGGCAAACAAGGCCAGGCCTTCGTGTATTGGGCCTGATCCACAGAAGGAAGAAAGGGACAGATTCCCACAGGACAAGCCATTGCCCTGACAATCTGGAAGGCGGTGGTGAGAAAGTTCTAGGCTGGAGATCAAGTGTGTCTGGACGCCTCCAGAAAACAGCAGTACCACCCTGTCCTGCGGGCAACCCTACCAATCTCAGCCCATCCCAGTCCCAGACCTCCCCTGCTTACCTCAACTTGTGCAAGAGGCCCGTGCTCTGCCAGCTTCTGTACCCAGAGCTCAAAGTTGAGGCCAAAGCAGTTAAGGAATGACCACAAGTAGACAATGTCACAAGGCCCAAGCCACAGAGTGGTGATGGCAAATGTGGCCACTGAGGCCACCAGCTCTGGGATCACTGCAGAGTGTTCCCCACCAAGGTGGTCATACACATATCTACAGAAAAGATGAAAGCAGAGGCCCGTGGGAGGGTGGGAAAGGACAGATGTGAGGCCAGCAGAGGATGCACAACAGGGGCAGCCCTCTTCCTGCTATCACCCTGAGGACAAGACAATGTTTTGAACTTAGGTGACTGCTTTTCCTCTGCCCAAATCCAAATTGCACAGGGCTCAGCCTTGGACTTTGTATCTTCTCTAGCTGTGTTCATTCACTCCTCCAAAGATCTCATTCAGACTCAAGACTTTGAACACTGCTTGTTTAGCCCAGTCTCTCTTTGATTTGTGTCTCCAATTGCTTCTAGACATCTCACTTGAATGACTGATTCCCCCGTCTCTGCCCAAACCAGCTCCATCCCCATCTCCATCATCCCTTCAGTTGCTATAAGCCCTGGTACCATTTTGCATTCTCAGTTTCCCTCTTCACTCACATCCAAACCAGCAAATTCTATTGACTCCGGTCAGTCCTGACCACTGCTCACAGCTTCTACCCTCCTCCCACTCGAGTCCAGGTGGACTAGACCACTTAATGACCTTCCTACTTTGGCCTTTGTCCGCCATCCCCCAGCCCCTTCTTCACACAGCAGCCAGAGGCTTAGCTCAGATCACATCATTTCCATGGTTAAACCATGCCCCCATGACTTCCGGGAATTCCATCACCCTCCTCCACCCCACACATCTCCTTATCACTCAAGTCAAATACCTCCTCACAGAAGGCCGCCCAGACCCCAGCTAAAGAAGCTTCTACCCTGTAACCAAATTTTATCCCCTTACACTTACCACTCTCTAAAATTATCTTATTGATGTTTGTTTGCCTGTTTATGGTTTACCTGTTTTTCTCCCCCACTAGACTGTAAGCTCCCTGATTTCAGGGTCTTTGCCATATTCACTGCTTGTATCCCCAGTGCCTAGAACAGTGCTTGGCACACAGTAGGTGCTCAATAAATATTTGTTAAATAAATTCAGTGGAAGACTCATTGACTAACCTCCTCATTTCCATTGGTTTCTTCTCCACAGCACCTCAGCCACCCACTCCCATGGTCAGACCCCAACTCTGTCACCCTTTGAAATTTCACTCCTTGTTAATTCTCACTTTTTTTGCCCAACCCCTTCTGACACTTGGCTCCCCAGCTCGTTCTTCAATCCCAGTGATCCCTCCCATCTTTACCACCCTCTTTAACAGGCTTATGCTCAAATGAGTCATCATTATAAATAACCTTAAGCCCCTTATTTTTCAATTCTTCCTTCTTGACCATCTGGGAGAGCCGATTACCAGCTTTCTCTTGACCTGCACCCCCGCAGCTAAGCCCTGATGGGAAAGCCTCACGTCTTCACACGTTGGAGGCTGAAACCCACTACCTCCAACCCCACCTGGCCTCTTGGAGCTGAGCTCTCTATAGGCAGGTGCTTCTCCCACATTGCAATGGCTACTGCACCCCTCTCTCTCCTGCAAGTATGAGAGGGTGTGGTGGGCACTTGGGAAGGAGGGCCTGTATGCTGCCTCCTCAGCCTATAGTGGCTTCTCTTCTTCCTCCTGAAGGTGGGCCTCTGCCTGAGAGTGGACACTATCACCTCCTTCCTCCTCAGGACCTCAGTCCACCAATTGCCCCTCCATCCTGCATTACCAGCTCTTCTGTTGAATAGTTCCCCTCAGCACCAGGGCTGTCCCAGTACCTCCTACCTTTAAAACACCCCACAACTCCCTTTGGTTACCCCTCTGTCTTACTCCTTCAGTCCCAGGCTTCTCCTAGTTGTCCACACACTCCCCCACAGTCCCTCGATTCCCTTTCACTGCCCCTGCCTCCCCAGGGGAAGGCTGAAAAGCTCCATGTCACCAATGCTAATCCTCAGCCTCCAGCTCCCTTGAACCTCAGCAGCACCTGGCCCCGTGGCCCCCTCCACGCCTGGATGGTCTTTCCAAGCTTCCAGGGTGTCATATGGCCTTGATTCTTCTCCTGCTCCTCAGTTCCTTCTCCTGGCTCTTCCTTCTCCCTCCAACCAAAGTCCTTGCAGGACCAATATTGGCTGACCCCAACTCTCCTCGACCTGTACCCCAGGTTTATGCACTCCCAAGGCTGCAGCACAACTACCCTCCCTCATGACACCCACAGTCCCACTGTCCTCCTGACTTCTCTGAGTCCCTGACCCTCAGATGCAGGCACTTCCCTGGATCTCCCTAAGGGTGCCCCCCACAGATTCCAACTAGATGTTTCTCAAACAGAACCTCTCTCTGGAAGTCACTCCATTCTTCCAGGCTGAAGATAGGGGCCCAGAAGTCATCTCCTTCTCCTGGTGTCTCTGCCCCCCACCCCCAGCCCCTTCTCTCCACTTCCAGGGCCCTCAGCCAAGTCCAAACCTGTCTCTCACCTAGACCTCACTCGTCTAAGACAGACTTACTGTCTCCTTGCTTTCCCTGGCCTAGGGGTGATCTCTAAAACCATGGGTAAATCTTGGCACTGCCCAGACACGTGGCACTATAGCTGTGGCCACCCCCTCACCCCAACTTACTTGCAAAGCCAGTCATTGATGCCCCGGTCAAAGTGTCTGTGTGGAAAGAGCAGAAGGGTGTGAGTCCACCTGACACAGAGCTCCCATGGCACAGCGGGAGGGGACATGGTAGGATGGGAAGAAGCTCAGGGACGGTGGGCATCCAAGGTTGCGACCCCCTCCACTGCTTGTACTCACGTTTCCCCAAAGACATAGAGAGCAGTGATGCACTTAGGAGGCTGAGGCGGGTCCAGGTGGTCCAGGCGCGCCACGGTGTTGACGACACCAAAGAGGACCGCAGCCTTCACCCAGTCATACACCAGGTTTGAATAGGCCAGGCCAGCTGGGGACAAGGTGCTGTCACTACCCAGGGTCTATCATCACCTTGGCCTCCCCTGATGACCTCCAAGTCCCAGGGGAGGTGCTGAGCCCTGCCTTCCCCCTGGACACTTCTCTCCAAAGGTTGGGGGAGAGGAGAAGTCCTTGCCACCTGCAGCCCACAAGGAGAATTTGCCTCTTCCTGGGGGAGCACCAGGCCCCACCTTCCCCGTGGGGACCCCCATCTCCACTTGTGAAAATCAATCACAGCCCTGACGAAGGGCAGGCTGTTGGAGATACTGCTCCAGCCTCATAGGACAAAGCTAAGGTCAAGTCCCAGGCATTTCAAAGAATAAGTCCCCGTTCCTGCACCCTTGGTGATGTGGGGACCCACCGAGGGCGCTGTCTGGGAGGCGATTGGCAAACTTGAGGTCATTGGGGATGGTGAGGATGTAGAAGAAGTGAAAGAAGATGTCCACTGCTATGATGGCCACCACGCTGAGACCTGCCTGGGCCCGGATGCGCCACAGCTCGCCCTCGGGCCTCACTGGTTCCACCTCGCTCACCTGGAGGGATGCAAAATGTCTGGGGGGAGTGCCAAGTGTCTGCCGTGAGGAGCCCTGCCCCAGTGGGGGTCCCCATGGGTGGGAGGAGGCAGGCTGCTGCACCCAGGAATTCCGCTCAAGGGTGGAGACACCCTGAAGTCTGGGGAGGGTTCTGTCCGACAAGGGGAGACCAATCCTGTCTTGGGAGCCCCATTTGAGCAGGAGGGGAACCGTCATAGCCTGGGAGTCCTGTCTGAGAGAAGACACATCTCCACCATGTGATCCTTGTCTAAGGCGGAAACGTGGCTGCATCCTGGGGTCCTACCTGAAGATGGGGTGCAGCCTGCCTGGGGAGTTCTACCTGAGATAGGAGCCTCTGTCTGAAAAAGGAGACCTAGCCTTGTTCTGGGAGGCCACAAGATGTCCCCTCACCTGAGTGTGGAAGCGATCAAAGGTCATGATGGGCCCAAAGAAGAAGAAGGGCAGGTAGAAGTTGTACTTGAGCAGGTCAGCTAGGGAGTAGCGGCGGTCAGGGTGGGCACAGCTCTCCAGTGCGAAGCTGGTGCAACGCAGCACAGTAAAGCCGCAGCCCCCATGAAACAGCACCTCTTGAAGATCAAAAGTGCCTGTTACAAACCCGCTCTGGAGGGGAGAGAACAGGCCGCCAGCTCACCAGGGGGCCTCACACCTCTGGGGAAAAGCAACCCCTTTCCAGCTTCCCAGGGGGGCCCCAGCCTGGTCCCACCCTTCCCCTCTTCCAGAGCCAGTTAACATGGACGATTGCTCTATCCCAGCAATGTGATAGAACAGAGGACCGGCTGGACACACCTGTGCTGCAGTGCAGGTGACCGCCTGGTTGTCAGGGCACACTCAAAGGCTTGAAGATGGGTAGAAAAGTGAAGGAAATACTTGGGATACTTGGGAGGCAACGGCTTTAAATGAAGCAAAAGGCTTGGGGTCCTATCCCTGTACCCTTCTAATACCCCAGTGCATACCTGCCAGGAGATGAGGGGGTCCATCTTGAAGGAGGCCAGGCTGGCCAGGCCAAGGCCAAGACAGAGCCAGGGTTGACCCAAGAGTGAGGCCACATAGAGGGCCACACAGTGGCCAAGCAGCAGCAGCAGGTACCAAGGGCCCATTGTGCCCATCACAGCCAGGGCTCCGTACACAGCATACATCCAGGAGCGGAGCTGTGGAGAAGTGAGGTTCTGGTTTTCCTATGCTCCTGGGGGTAGGACCCCTAAATAGATTTCCCACAACCTTTGCAGCTAAGGAGAAGCTGATGAGGGTGGGGGGTAGATTCAGCTCACCTGGGGGGCAACCATTGTGCAGAGTTTGGCAAACAGCACGTGTCCAGAGAGGGCGAAGATGATGACATTTCGGAAGGAAGTGAACCACATCACCCACTCAAAGTCAGCTACATCCTGGGACAGCCAGGGACAGGAGGTGAGGAAGGTTAGGGTGGGTGAGGGAGGACAGCAGGCGGGTACCCCAACTGGGCAGAGCCCTAGCACCTTCCCAGATCCCTTGTTCTTCTCATGCATTAGAAGAGGAGCAACGGCTCCAGGTCCCTGCAGTCCCTTCTGAAGGAAGTACCCAGGTAGAAAAGAAGGGAGGAATGAGCGCACCACAAGGACAGCACTGTCCCTCAAATCCCTCTCCCCCTCTGCTCAGCACAGTGCCTGACACTGTACCACTGCTGCCCTGTTCCTGGAAAGGGTGGTGCTGGAGGCCCCGCTGAAGCTCATCCTGCTTATGAACCTGTTTTCTAAGTGAGTGGGGCTGGGGAGGGGCCGTGGAGAAGCTGAGGTCCTGAGGCTCAAGCTAGAGACCCCCTTTGTGAGACGCCAGAAAATCTGGGATAGCGGAGAGTGGGGAAGAGTTAGGGATGGGGACACGTGCCAGGGGTCGGGGACCCTAAGCAGGGACCCTGGGATGTGGGAGACCTACCATCTTCCGGCCAATGTACTCCCAGCCGGGTCGCACAGACTCCCGGAAGGCCTTCCTGTGGGCCCCATCTGAGAACAGAGCGTGGCCTCAGTGGAAGGGGTCTTTCACATGCCCTCCCAGGTCTGCCCCCAAGGATGAGGCTGCCCCCACCTGGGGAGAGGGGAACAGGTCTGCCAGGTGTCTAGCTCTGGGAACAGGGCAGAAGTTAGGGGAATGTGGGTCTCTTGTTCTGCCCCGGCCTCGCCCTGGGTCTTGGTGTGTATCTATCTGGGTCCAGGTCTCTGTCTCTGAGTGTCTATGAATGTGGGGGGATAGGCTCTGTGTCCATGTCTCTAGGTCTGGAACCTATATATTTCTTGCCTTGCTGATTAGAACCCTGAGGCCCCCAGGGGAAGATAGATCCCACCCCTGCCTCAGGGCCCGGTTGTTACCTTGGGATGCTTCAAGGAGGCCCCGGCCAGCATAGGCCAGGGACCCACTCAGCACCAGGAAGTAGAGACCCAGCTCAGCTGCAGGCAGTGCTGTCTTGATGCCCATAGCCTGGACAGGGCTGGGGAGACAGGCAGGTGAGGGCCCAGCCTCCAGCCCCACCTGGACCTCCACAGGGGTACTAGGCCTCCATTCTGAACAGAGACCACTCCATCCACCCCTTGGGGTCTGGGGGAGTGCGGCATCACTCTCCCCACCCCTGTGTGCCCTTCACTCCTCCCCTCCCGACTGCTGCTCCAGTTCCAACCCCTCTCACTGAAGGTTCTTGAAAGTCTAGTCTCCACTCAGTCTACCTTTGTCACCTTCCTTTACTCCTTCACACCTTTTGGATGGATTGGTTTCCACCCTCTGCCAAGACTCCTGCCAAGGCCCTCTTGAACTTTCAGGAGAGGAAACCCTATCTCTAGCACCTCAATCAGGTTTCTGGCCTCTAGGGTCCCCCTACCTCAGTGAGACTCCTTCAGCTCCTAAGAAAGCCAAACTCTCTCCAAGACCCCTTCTCTGACTCCTACTCACACCCTGAGTGGCCTTTCCTTCTCTGAGACCCTGTAACCTCCCAGGTCCTGCCCCCAGCACCAAGCCTCCCACCCTGTCATTCAGCCTTTTATCTTTTGCAGACCCCACACCCAGCAAGCCCCCCGCGCTCTAGCCTGCCTCGTCCCTGGTCCCTGCCTGTGTCTGCATACTGTCCCACCCGCAGTGCTCTGTGTACTGTGGTCCTGGCCACTGTCTGGAGGCTGTGCTATTTGAGAAGGTGCCCTGGAGAAGTGGGTGTGGGGCCAGGCAGGGCCAGGAGGGCACAGGGAAGCATGCTGGCTGCTGTCCAAGGTGCTGATCAGTTTAAGGGCCAGGGTGAGTCTAGCCACTCCCTCCTGCCAGCACCCAGCTTGTTCCCAGGAGTCCTGCTGGGCCAACCCTGGGAACTCAGCTAGCACCTATGCTCTTTCCACCCTACTTCAGCCTGGCCCAGTGTCAGTTCCTAAGGGACCCATAGGTACAGACTCAGGGCCTAAATGAATGAGAGGAAGTTGTGTAGGTGCCCCTTGGGCTGAGTTGGGCCCTGTCTCCCACCTCAGTTCCTCCCCTAAATCACAGGCCAGCCTTCCCCACCCTGCGTGCAGCTCTTCTGGACCCCCCAGCTGACATTCTCCCCAGATGGAGGGGGTCACAGGCCAGAATGGCGAAGGGACCCATTAAAGCCACAGGACGAGCCTGGGACAGGCTCAAGACCAGATATTCTCCATGAGCCCCTCTGGAATCTCAGATGAGGCCATTGCTGCCCTGCCCGTGTCAGGGGGCTGCCAGGGGGCTGTCATTGGAGCCTGGGGGCCAGTATGCCTCCTCATCAGCAGGGTTGGGGGAGGGAGGCCCCAGGGATCAGGTTAATGGAGCAGAAGCTTGAAACCGGAGCACAGCGAAGAGCCCGAGGAATAGCTTTGTCAGCTGCCTCCCACTCGCCACTTTCCAATTTTAGCTCCCCATGGCCGGTGCAGAAGTGTCCCCAGTGAGGCTTCAGTGAGGAGCTGGCCCCCAGCCTGGGGCCTTTCCTGTTAGACCCCCCGACATGGACCGGCCTGTGGAAGCAGGAGTGGTCCCTTCCCCCGTCCTGTCTCAGGTGCACCTGGAGTAAAGCCCACCTTGGGGCCTGTGATCTGCAATCAGGAGCCTGGGGTGGGCCCCACAGGTCTCCAGGGCCCCAGAATGGCTGCATCCCCAGCTGGCACTGACCTTGAGGAGGCTGCGAGGGACCCTGGCACACTGCCCACCTCGGGGCTCCGGGGTCCTTGTATCCGACTGTGCGTCTGTCCGACCAGCTGAGCTCTGGGGCCACGGTGGGGTGTGTCCAGCCCTGGGGTCCCCACCCCCTCGAGGCTATGAGCGGTGAGTGGTGACAGCAGGCAGAGGAGGGGGAGGAGGAGGGTAGGGAGGAGGTGGCCTTCCTGGAGCGGAGCTGAGCAGAGTGCTGCAGAGCTGCTGGCCGCAGGGAGCCGCAGGGAGGCTGGGGGGGGGAGGGGGTGGCCAGAGGCACAGACTCAGACAGGGACACCTGGGTCTCACTTTAGTCTGTGCCCTTGCCCCTAGAGATCCTGTGTCTCTCTCTCTTGCTACTAGCCAGGACACCCTTCTTTCAGGAAGCCTTCCAGGTGGCCCCACGAGCCTCTACAGACTTGTGAGCCCTGCCCCCATGGTAGTATCACATTCACACACACGAAAATGCTTTCCCATCTCTGCTCTGTGGACTGTAGCTCCCACTTTACATGCCACCTCCCGAGGGCTGTCCAGGGAAAACCTCTCGTTCCTTTTTATCAAGCCAGCTCCTGCCTGGACAGGCACTAGTACCTGGGGGAGGACCAACTTGCCTAGTGGGATTGGAACTGGCACGGGGTGTGTTTGAAAGGGGCTCCCACCCCCAAGCCCTGTCCTATAGGGAGTTGCCTGGATGAAGGGGTGCTAGAAGGGTCACTTGGCAAGCCTTGAATGGGTACTTGCAATGGCTGGCATTAGCATTTTTTTTTTTTTTGTACCAGAGATTGAACTCAGGGGCACTCGGCCACTGAGCCACATCCTCAGCCTTATTTTGTATTTTATTTAGAGACAGGGTCTCACTGAGTTGCTTAACACCTAGCTTTTGCTGAGGCTGGCTTTGAACTCCCAATCCTCCTGCCTCAGCTTCCTGAGCCATTGGGATTACAGGTGTGCGCCACTGCACCTGGGAGCTGGCATCATCTTGATGGCAGAGTAGAGCAGACAGGAAGAAATGTCCCTAACCAACTGTGGCTCCTGGAGAGAGACACAATACCCCAACCCTAGTAACCTGATGGGAAGGGGTAAACTGATGGCCCCATTGAGAGGACAGGATCTTCCAATAGTTCCCCTTTGGGATGAGGCCCCCATAGTCTTGGGAAGCTGTATGTATTTTGTCATGTCTGTGGGGACCTGTTCATGCATATGCTCCAGAGAACGGGGTTAGGGAGGCCCCACTGGACCTGGTTCAGCTGATCTCCTGAACAATCCCCCTCCAATAAGGTTCAGGTGAGGATGGGCAGTAGAGCCCTGCAGGGGCCCATGCAAGTCCTAGAAGGGAGAGAGAGACTGCACTAGGCAATGGATCCTCCCAACCTCCAGACATGCTGGCCCAAAGGAAGCCACCATGAGAACCAACACACATTCTAAAGAGAATGACACAGAGGTGCATGCCACTGATCCCTGACCCTGAGAATCATGAGTGACAGCCTCGACACAGTGTGGGGTCTGGATTAGGGCTACAGCTGGGATCATGGGCACTAGAGGAGGCCAGTGTCAGGGAAGAAAGACTTCCAGTCTGGAGGAGGAGTCAACGGTGAAGAGTAATCGTAAGCCAGGATTAACATACATGGATCAACTTTTTAATGTCACTGCAATCGGTAAGGAAAGAGTTACCATTATCTCCGGCTGGTAGAAGAGGAAACTGAGGCACAAGGTGGTTAAGTGGCTGGATCAACCCCGTAAGCTTCTGGAATTGACTGTCCTTCAGGCTGAGAGCCAAGCTCACTCTCACCCGCTGTTGGGCAGGACCAGCCTAGGCCAGGTCTCCACCTGGTGCCCTCCGGAGGCTCCAAGAGAATGGCTCAGGGAGGCAGATAGGGTGGTTTGTGCTGGGACGGAGAACACGGTTGCAGCCCACTGACAGGAACCAGAGCTTCAGCCTGCTGCTGTGTGCTCTGGGCCTCATGTCCTCATTTGTAAAATGGGCACACTGCTGACCTGGCCTCCTGGGTTCTTGGGGGGATCCAGTGACTCACCCCATGACAGAGGCTTGATTCACTGCTTATGAAGAGAGGCTGTGAGGGAGCCACTGCCCCCTAACTCCAGAGCCCCAGAGAGGCAGGGCCCACTCAGCAGAGATGTTCCCCAGTGACCCTGCACTGCAGGACCCGCAAGGAATTTGGCACATGCGGATGGCAAGAAGGGTGGAGGCTTAGGGAGGCCAGCTCCACCCTAAGTGTGGGGTATAGGATGGGGGGCCACTGGCTTGGTCAGCCCACAAAACAAGGGACAGGAAGCTGACTGGGCTGAGATCAGCACAAGGACCAGGATCAGCTTCCCAAATGCTGATTCTTCCCAAGGTCCACTGGAAAAGATGTGGGGAGGGAGGCCAATTCTCTCAAATCAGAGTCCCCTTTCACCTCTCAATGTTTTTGTTTTTGCTCAAAATGAAAATGTGGGCAAGTTTCCTGTGTGGGTGTGCATGTGTATGTAGTTGTCTTGTATTGGTTCTGCATAGGGTCTGGGGGTATACACTTTGAGGTATGTTTATGACAGGTGCTTATTGTGTGTGTGTGTGTGTGTGTGTGTGTGTGTGTGTGTGTATGTGGTGTAGCAATGCACTGTGTGGTGTCTGAGTGTGATGTGTGTTGTATGGGTGTATATGTGTGAATATGCAAGGCTTGAGAACTGTAGGTGACGCTACGTTTGTAAAAGGTACATATGAGGAGAGGGGGTGGGCAGGTGGAGACTTCCTTGTGCTAAGGGCTGCCTGAGGGCTCATTTGGGGCAGAGGGAAGAGGCTGGTTCTGACCACTGGATGTGGAGGTGCCCAGAGGAGCAGGGAAGGAGCCCAGTGGCAATGGAATGTGTTTTGAGTCAGCCAGAGCCAGCCTGCAGTGTTGCTCAGCTGAGCTGCGGTGTCCCAGAGGCCCCACTGGGGACAGTGGCCAAACCACATCCACATCTCAACCAGGTCTCCCCGGTCAGTGCCGGAACCTGAGCACCCAGAATCACAGCACCTTCCTATGCCTAAGGTGTGGCCGGGGGATCATCATGTGAGGTCACTCCACCACTCCACCTGCCTTTTACTTGCCCTGTCCCTTGGCCCTCCAGGGCACCTGCCCCCTCCATGCCTGAGGCCCTGGGAAGGAGCCTCAGGAGTTCTCATTCAGCCCACCTGCTGCCCACCTACCTGAGAGATGGGGAAGCCTTCCTCAGGGTCTGAGGATAGTTGGTGCTGCCAGGAGGGGCTGTGGGTACCAACTTGTGCAGACCAAGCTCTACTCCCCACCGCCAGCTGGGTTAGATCTCTCAGGATCCAGTCCTTGGCCCCCTGACAACTCCTCCTTCCTTTAAAAATCCTTCCAGATTATCCCATGACTCCCCTCTTCATCCCTGCACCCCTACATGAGAGCTGGGATTAGGGGGCTCTGTGGTGCCACAGCCTGTCTCTGCATCCTTCCCCTTCCCCAGCCCCCATCATAGCCCCATTTCCCACACTTCTCTAATGGGACAGGGAGCTCCCAGAAAGAAGGAAGTAAGTCACTTTTATCCCCACTCCCACCCCCACCCAGGCCTGGTGAGGCTGGCATGCAGTTGGCACTCACTGTCTGGTGACTGGCCAGCAGAATGGATAGTGACCTGAAAGGAGTCTGTCTCCCCAGGGGCCTGAGAGTTCCTGGAGTTTGGGGGCCATGTCTCAGCACCTTCATACCTGGGCAAAAGAGCTGCTCAATAAATATTTGCTGACCTAACACAGGGTTATTAAGAGCTAACATTTATGGTGTGCTTACTGTATGTCAGTAGCTGCTCTAAGCCATTTAACACTTTTTAACTCCATGAATCCTAAAGAGGGTTGCGATGATGGAATGGAGTGGATCTGGTCTAACTAAGCTGAAGGTGCCTGGTGCAAGTGCCAGTGGGTGTGATAAAGCCCTGGAATATAGCCCCATGGTAAAACTCTCAAGGTTGAGCCAGAAGCAGTGGCGCACACCTGTAATCTCAGTGATTCAGGAAGCTGAGGCAGGAGGATCACAAGTTCAAGGCTAGCCTCAGCAACTTAGCAAAACTCAAAATAAAAAAAATAAAAAGAGCTAGGGATGTAGCTCCGTGGTAGAGCACTCCTGGGGTCAATCCTCAGTCCAAAAATAACAATAACAAAAATGCTCAAGGTTGCCTATAGAACTTGAAGATTGTATAAACTAGATTTTATACCCACAGGTGACCTAAGTAAGGACTGAACTATGCGCAGACTGATACCGAAAGATGCCAACTCATCAGTTTATCTAAAAATGTGTAAACAAGATCACTGTGTCTGGCTAGCAGCAGCTTTTCTCCCCACTCTCTTATTATAAATCCTATTTTTATTGTAGTGGAATTAAATTAATCTATAGATACATGTTCCTTGTATCACAGTAAACAGCAAGGCAATAATTAGCCTTTTGGGGTATTCTTTGACACCTATTAACAGCCCTTAAGGGAGGTTTTTATTATTGTCCCCATTTTATAGATGACATGGAGTCTCAGGGAGGTTGCTTGATTTTCCCAAGGCCACACAGCTGGCAAGTGGAGAAAGAGATTCACACCCTTTGATGGGATGCTCCTTTCTCTCTCAGCCCAGCCCCAAGCCAAGAAGGACAGCAGAGGTGGGCGTGGATCACACCTGCCTGCTCTTCTCCAACGTGATCCTAAGGCAGGATGGTTGGTCCTGTGCCTCCTTCTGTCCCAGGGACTCTGCTGAGGACTGGAGCCTGGGTCCCCACATGCTCAGATCACCCTCAGGAGGCTCCCCACAGCCTGAAGAAAGTGCCAGTTACTTGACCTGGTGTCCACACTCTGCATTTGGCCCACTCCTCACTGTCCTTCATTGTCCCCTCCCAGCACAGGCCCTCTTGCTCTTCTCTGGCTCTCTGCTTGGCCATTGCCCTTCACAAGGAACCAGGAAGAAAGTCTGCCTTCCCAGAAGCCCTTAGAGCCCATCAGAATTGCCACTTCATTCCAATGGGCTCTGTGCCACCTTACTGTGGGAACTCTAGACTGTGCTGCCCTTGGAGGACAGAGGCTCCCTCAGGGGGGTGAGGGCAGTGGGGCCAGCTCTGATCCCCTCCATTCCCATCTCTGAGGGATGTCCTGAGCAGATGTAATCTCAGGACCTCCAGGTGGAGGAAGGAGACGAATTGTCATAGTATGTGCTCCTGCATTTGTGTCACTATACAAGCTACACACATAACTGTGTCTCACGTGGGGACTGTCTGCATCCACATCCACATGTGCTCACTTGTGCTTGCATGTGTGTCTACCTGTGTGTACACAGCTACATGCTCCTGCACCTAGGTGTCTGTGTGTGTCTGCCTCTGTGTGTGCGCCTGTGCACCTGTGTGGCCAGTGCGTCTAGGGTGGTGTGTATAGCTATAGGCTACTCATCCTCCCTGGAGTCAGCCTTCCCTGTGGCTGTAATTGCAGCTAAGAGGATGATGCTGTGACAGTCACACAGAAGATGGGGGCTCCCAGGGTCACCTCCCCAGCAGCCTTCCCAGCTCACCATGGGGAGGGAGGTGCACCACACCTATGTCGTCACACACTTCCTTCTGCCCAAAGCTCCAGCCCAGCCCCACTTCTGCTCTTCGCCACCAGTGCCCACCCACCCAGCCTTTTGGGAGCAGCAGGAGGTGCCTTCTGGAGCAACCAGTGAGATGCAGAGCTGTTCAGCAGTGAGATGGGCATTCCTGCCCTGGGGAGCTGCTCAACTGGGGACTCTGGTTTTGGAGGCTGACCAGAGTGAAATAATAGCTTCAATCCTCCGAGCCCCATTTTCCCCATCTGTGAAATAGGGCGGCAATCCCCTGTATTATTAGAGGACAGATGGGTGGGGTCAGGTTTCCATGGGAGATGACCACTCACTGGAAGATGCAGCAATTATGAAAATAACAATTATTATTACAAGTCCAAGCTTGGCATCTGAGCAGCAGGCTGACAAAGAGGCCAGGAGTGTGCTGCCCTACTCTGTGGATGGGGAGGGCCACAGATGGAGCCAGGGCAGGGCAGGAAGATGCCTAGTGAGGACCACCAAGTAGGTGGGGGAGGCTGGGCAATGTGCCCAACCCAGGGCACCAGGGGTTCTGCTGTGCGTATGGAGCCTGTGGGCATGCAGGGGCCCCCAGGCAGGTTCTAAGACAAGGGCCATGAGCATCTGTTCGGGGGACTGCATCTGTCCATCCACAGCTGGCTTGTCCCAGAGCTCTGGCTGATGCTGGTGGGCTGCTGGGCCTCCTCCCGTCACAGCCACATCTGCCCAGTGTTCCTGCATGGTTCTGCCATGGCTTCTCCTCTGGCTTGAAGTGTGGGCTGTGGTCATTCTGAAGGAGCTGCTTTTGAGGGCAGAGCTGAGCTGGGGCCCGGATGGCTTCCTGAATCGGACGCAGTCCTCAGACAGCCTCATCCTCTCAAGGCCTGAGCTGTCCCACTGGCCTTGCTGACACAGGGCCGCATCCTAGTGCTTGTCTGCTTTCTGCTGCCGCAGGGCCTGCAGGAAGACCCCTTTCACCTGGCTAAGGGTCTCGTGGTACATGCGGAAGTCCTCCTCCTTTCCCCGCAGGGCATTGCCCAGGGCGGCTTTCAGCATTTCGTTCTCCTCCACCTGGATGGCCAGCCTGGACCACAGGGAGACAGGGCTGAGTGTGGTCTGAGTAGCACATGGGTGGTGGGGTCCAGGGGGCCCTGGATTGCAGCTCCAGCATGGCTGCTGTTTAGGCTCAGGGTTTTCTCTGACTCACCCCCTCCCCTGCCCTCCCCCCTCCCCAGGAGGAATACCATGCTGGAGTCCTCTCTGGGCCCGCCCACAGCTTTGGGTCTGGTGCCCAGTAGCCTCAGCATTATCAGCCATCCCAAGCAGGAGCTTCATTTGTAGAGGTGCTTTCTCCCCTTTCCCTTTGCATTGTCTTATAAGGCCCAACTGAGGGAGAAAGTGGGTCCAGCAAACCCCACTTAATAAAACTTCTCTTGGGACTCTGGGGTCATCAGGGAGTGCCTGGGCCCCTTGGCCACTGCAGGGAGATCTCTGAATTGGAAGCCTAGAATCTAGGACCCAGCAGAACCAGCCCTCTGGGCAAACAGAAGTCAAAAGTGCGAACAGGGAGGGACAGTCCCTCTGCCCTTCGTAGCCCCTCTACCTAGACTACTACCCTTTCAGGAAGAGGGGGCAGGAAGCACCTGGTGGTCAGCTCCTCCATCTGCAATTCCACAGGTACACTGGAGAGTTGGGCAGAGGATGGGTCCTTTTTCTCACTTCCTGTTGGGTTGGGCCTGGTATTAGAGGCTGGCAGACCTGCAGGGCAGTCTTATGGCTCTGCCATCCTGACCCCTAGCTCACCCCAGCCCACACCGTGCTGTCGTGGCTGGCCTGGGACCACCCTTGAGAAGAAGCATTACAGCGACTGGCCTTTCACTTAAAGACAACTTCCCCCAGCTTCAGCACAAGCCTGGAGTGTGTTCTTCTGTCTAGGGTCTGGGTGTGACCACAGCACAAGTGACGCAGGCCACCTTGCAAGGTGAGAGGCAGGTTGTCCCCTTCCTTCCTCCCCTTCCTGCTGCTGGCAGGGAAGCTCCAGTGGCCCCCTTGGACCAGGAGTTGGAGCTGTGCGTTGAGGATGGTGGAGCCACAAGACAGAAGAGCTTGGGTCTCCCAGCCTGTGGAGAGGCCATGAGAGCCCTCATACAAGTTCACCTACGTGGTGGCAAAAGGGTCTCCTCTGCTGTTTCAGCCACGACTACTTTTGGCTGGCCCAGCAGAGCAACTGTGAACAAGGTTCACTCGGGACAGCAGGTAGAGGGCTGCTGGGGAGGCAGGAAGTAGTGGCTGAGGACATTCAGCAGAGGTACTGCCCCCTCATGCTAAGGGCTAACACGAGGCTGGGCCAGGTCCAAGTGGGCCCGTGGGTCACTGGGGCTCCTACTTCTGGCTGGGAGCTGGGAGAGGCTGCACAGTAACAGAGGCAGGCAGAGCTCTGCCCTCATACAAACTCCACTTCCCATACTCCCTGATGAAGGCCAAAGAGCAGAGTTAATTGCTTTTTCCTCCCTCAGCAGCGAGGCTGCCCCTACTTCCCACATCAGGACCCTTCCTTGGTCCCTACCTGGTTTATTTTTGGGGGCTGCTTTCTGTGAGGCGGATGCCTTGCCAGGCTCCAAGCGCATCTTCTCCAGATGTTGCTCCAGCACCACAGTGTGGTGCCGCTCCCCCTGCAGCCTCCTTTCCGCCTCCAGGAGCTTGCTGTTGCTCTCCTCCAACCTGATCATTATAGAGGGGCTGCACACGCCCTGGCAGGCAGGGGCAGCCCCTGGTCCACCTACTGAGGCTCCCAGAGAGGTGGGCATATCTTACACTGGGTGGTGGAAATTGTTCTGGATTTTCATTGCAGTAACACAGAAATGTGCACTGAAAAACCACATAGTTCTCTTCAAGGCTTAAAATGAAAAAAATTGGCAGCCCATCCCTACGCCCTTCACTCCGGATTCTTGTTCCCCAGAAGCAACCACTTTTAGCATTTTAAGCTGCTTCTTTGAGTGTTTACTGCCACATTTCTACAGATGCTTGTGCTGCTTTTTTTTTAAAAGGTTTAAATATAATCTTTTGACTTCCTGTCATGCGGAATCAGAATTTGGTTTTATTTTAGCACTCTCCCCCTACCCAACAGAACCTACTTTCCTCTTTTTGACTGAATTGATATTAGGTGGTGTGTTAGTTTTCTGTTGCTACTATAACAAATTACCACAAAACAGGCAGCTTGAAATCACACAAACACATTGTCTCACAATTTCTGTATATCTGAAAGGGAGCTGGTTCTTTTGGGTTCTCTGCTCCAGGTATCACAAGCCAAAATCAAGGTGTCAGCTAACCTGGGCTGTTATCTGGAGGTTCTAGGGGAGAATCTGTTTCTAAATCCATTCAGGGTGTTGGAAGAATCCAGTTGTAGGTAGCTGAAGGACTGTTTCCTGCTGCGGTTGGCTAGGGGTCATTTTTAGCTTCTAAAGGGTACTTTGCCCCCTCTGCTTCATAGTCAGCTCTGAATCTTTCATGTGTGATGCCTTCTGCAGCATAACTCTTGAATGACCCCAGATGGAAAAATGTCTCTGCTTTTTTGGGCTCAAGTGATTAGATTTGGCCCACCTGATAATCCAGGATAATCTTCCTATCGTAGAGGCCATCATGATCATTACATCCGAAAAACCCTTCTCAGGCATAACAGCAAAGGGCACAGGCATCAAAATCCTGTCTACCACAGGGGATACATTGGACAATTATTCAGAGCTGACACGTAGTTCACTAATGATTACATTTCCTGGAGTTAATGTTTGTCTTATGTTTATTGTTTTGTTTTCTATATGCCTGTCATAAATCCATGGGCCTTGAAGACCTTGCTGTGTGGTTATTTCACCTGAAAATTTGTTTAATCTTTTTTTAAATATTGTTTTTAGTTGTAGTTGGACACAATACCTTCATTTTATTTATTTTTATGTGGTGCTGAGGATTGAACCCAGCACCTCACACATGCTAGGCGAGTGCTCCATCACCAAGCTCCAGCCCCAATCTTTAAGTCCCACTAACAGGGGAAAGATAAATGGTGACATATTCATACTATGAAACATGATAGAATATGACAGAACCATTATACTATTCAACACAGTGGCCTTTCATCCACATGAAGCTGTTAAAATTAAAGTTATGATAATTAAATAAAATTTAAAATTCAGTTCTTCAGTCATACTAGGCACACTTCAAGTTCTCAAAAACCACATGTGGCTAATGGCTACTGTATTGGTCAGTGTAGATCTAGAACAAATCCATCATCTCAGAAACTTCTATTGGACAGCACTGGTCTAGCAACGACAAAGAACAAGGTAGAGCTATACATACAAACATGGCTATTCTCCAAGTCACAGAAAAAGAGCAATTGCCACAAGAATACATATTATACCATTTATATAAAGAAGCTCACTAAATAATGACATGTCCAAGGCTACGTATTCAGGTCTGTAACTTCAAGTACAAGGGTCAGGAGATAACAGGGTGGAGTGGGATAACATAAGGAGCAAGACTTGGAAGTGACATACACATGAACCTGACCTGTTGTCTACAGGGGTAACAAGGAGACTCTGGTCCTATGTCTGTGTTAACAGGGGTTTTTAAGAAGACTGAGGTGCTTTCCCCTATGAGTGGTCAACTGGAGGCCAGTGAGTGGCAAGAGGTGGGTCGGCTTCTCCCACCTGCCTGGGCTTCTTGAAGAAAAATCCTGCAGTCATTGAAGGTGACTGAGCAGTGATGGCCCTTGGGGCTGATATCCTGGGCTGCAGAGGTCAGCCTGAAATCAAGGTGTCAGAGGGCTGCTACGCTAGCTCATCTTGGGGTCTTCTTCCAAGCTCATTCCATTTGTTAGCAGAATTGAATTCTCTTGTGGCTGTAGAACCTAATTTTCTTGCTGGATATTGACTAGGGGTGGTTGCTAGCTCCTAGAGTGCACCCACCATTCCTGCCACGTGATCTTCTCCACAGCAGGGCAGTCTGCAGGAGAATGTCTTCAAGGTCAGCAGAAGACTAACTCTGCTGCTTCAACTCTCTGGCTTCCTCTGTCTCTGACCTCTAGACTCATGCAATGAAGTCTGCCTTCTCTCTCACTTGGATCAACTCAGTCATCTGACTAGTAAACTTAATTATGTCTGCAAACTCTCCTTTGCCATGTAAGTTAACATAATCATGGCAACAATATCCCACCATATTCATGGGTTCTGACCACACTGATGGGGATGGAAGTATAAAAGGCCTGTATACAAGGGGGCAGGAATTTGGGGGATAATATTAGATAATGTTCTGCCTTCCACAGTGAAAACACAAATTTTCTTTTTTAAGAAAGAAACTAAAGCCCAGTGGTATTGTTAGAGAATAATACAACATTGTTCCAGGCACACTAGAGTCAACATCAGAACTAGGATTAAAGGAGAAAAATCACATGGGTCCTTCAACAGATGCTGAAGAAACATTGGTAAACCATTCCTTATTTCTGATTTTAAAAACTCAAAGTGACTGGAAATATAGCCAAGTGGTAGCCTGATTGTCTAGCATGTATAAGGCCATGGGTTTGATTCCCAGCACTGCAAAAACAAACCAAATCAAACAAAATGCTTCAAGTAAAAAGGAAAACAGAAGGAAACATCTTAACACAATAAAATATTATAAATTTAGAAACCAATAACTCATGAATAGAGGAATGGTAAATCAATCGGTGGATTTACATGATAAGATACTCTGTAACCATAAAAAGAATATGTACTGACATGAAGAGAAGTTCTGCAATATATTACTAAATAAAATAAATAGCTGAAGATTATGCATAGTATATGATCCAATTTAAACATTTATAACAAATTAAAAATTTAAAAACAAATAAATATAAGGCTAATATAATTCAGAGGATGAACTGAAAACAAAGATGAACAAGCAGAAGCTACTGAAGCACTGTCTGTGGGGTGGGGCTTTCATTTTTCTGTTATGGATTTCAGTAACAGTTTCCTTTTGTTTAACTTTGTATTCCATTCATACTAGGCAAAACAATAAAACAGCAGCAAACGCCATATTAAAATGATAAAAGCATGTTATGAGTTTCTTCAAAAACTTAGGAGCAATCAAACTCTGGATTTCTTCCCCAAATTGTGCCTTCACCATCTTGATACACATATCACCATCACTCATGTAATTGCTCAGCCCCCAAAGCTGAGAGTCATGCTTGCTTTCTTCCTCACCTTCGGCTTCCACTCTATCAGTAAGTGCTACAGCTTTCCCACAAACACACTAGAGCCAGCTCCCTCGCATTCCTCCTCCTGTGGCCTGGTTGAGGCTGCTCCTCAGGCCTGGATCCATAGTCTTTGCCCTCAAGACTCTCAGATCCTTCGGATCTCCAATTATTCTCTTTGGGACAGGCTTTGTCCTCACCAGTGTTCTCTTCCTCAATTGTTAACTGGTCTAAGTCAGCCAGACCCTCATTTGTCAATGGCTTGGAGTGTGATTCTAACAGTCCTCTGACATCAGGTGTGTCAACTACATGAGAGTCCAAATATTTTGAAAGACTTGTCTTGTTATTTCAAAATCGATTGTCATTGTATTTCAAGAGTTTGATCAGATTGGCCCAATGCCAGTGTAAAGTGAAGAATATTAAGTGGTCAAATTATTAGTAAATATTTTGATATTAAAATTTTTGCTTTTGTAAAGTTGTGGCTCAGTGGCAGAGCACTTGCCTAGCATGTGTGAGGCACTGGGTTCGATTCTCAGCAACACATATATATTAATAAAGTCTTTTAACAACTAAAAAATATTTAAAAATTTTACTTTCATGTGTGCTGTAATTGTGAGTATTTGATAAACAATATTCAGGAGATTCCACAACCCAACAATTAATTTAACATAAATGATACAAGGTCTTTATGAAGGTAAACAGGCATAACATTATATACATAATATTATATGTGTAATACGTAAATTGATCTTCTATAAATTAAGAAAAAATTATCAACAATTTCAAAAAATGAGCAATGGCACAAATAGGTAGTTAACAGAAAAGAACACATACCGGGGTTGTGTGAAAAACATGCTCATCTTCAATGTTTTTGTTTTTTTAAGTTTTCTTTTTTGTGGTACTGAGAATTGAACCCAGGGATACTTAATCACTGAGCCATGTCCTCAGCCCTTTCTCTTTGAGAAAGAGTCCCACTAAATTGCTTAGGGACTCACTAAGTTGCTGAGGCTGGATTTGAACTTGCAATCCTACTGCCTCAGCCTCCTGAGCTACTGGGATTACAGGTGTGCACCACCGTACCCAGCTCCTCATTTTTGGTCACAGCAAAACAGATGAAGATAATAATGAGATATTAGTGTTCCTTTATGAGTTTGAAAAAAATGTTAATGACTGATAAAACTTACTATAGAAGAGACTATAGGGAAAGGATCAAGAGTTCACATGATTGGTAGGAATGCAAATTTGACTCATTTTAAAAGGGCAATTTGCCATTATTTGTAGAGATGTTTAGTGTGAAGCTACTTTTTGATAATATATGTAATATATGTGTTGTCCATATGGCTGAATACACACATATACACATGTATGTACATATGCATGTATATATTATTGGATGTGGAAAGAAAAAATTTAGTAGTTTTAATAGTTCTTATTTATGAAGAATGTGGAATCGGGTGTTGGAGAAACAGAGACTTTTTGCAATAAGTACATATACATTTCTAGTAGAAAACCTAGCAAAACTTCCAATAGTGTAAGGCAGGGGTTTTAATGCCAACATGAGGGCAGCTGATATAAACTTGTACATCTCTAAGGCAGCAAGTTACTTACAAGTGAGTTAATATAATTCTAGATACTTCAACAGAATACCTTGGTTGTGATAATCAGAGTTAAGATAATCTCCATCAACAAGTGCAGGGAAGTGGTGAGGAAGCTGTAGTCCACTGGGGCCTGGGGCAGGGCAGGGTGGAGGCTCATCAGTCGTGAGAAACTGAACACAGGCAGCACTCCTGTGTTCCGGAAACCCTAAGCCAATAAATTAGCATAAAGCACTGATCAGAAACCACTGAAACCTCAAGGGCTCCATAGAAACAACCGTAGACCCACGCTCTAGGAGCACTTTCACAGCCTAAGAACTGCCACAAGAAAATCCCCACTGAAAATGAGATGAGCTCACACCACCAGAAATACAAGCCACCTGGGGAGAACATTCATCCCAAGTGAAGAGTCAATCAACAGACGCTACTTACATCCCTAGGTAATAAAGGTGATACAACTATTTGAAAGGACTAACTTAAGTTTAAAATTATTGAAAAGAGAAAGACAATACATCTTTGTTTGTTTGGTTGGTTATCATGCTGGGGATCAAACACAGGGCCTTGCACATGATAGTCAAGCTCTCTGCCACTAAGCTACGCCCCCACTCTGGAAAGGCAAGAAATCTTAATGAAAGGACAAATGCTATAAGCAAGAGAATAGGACAAATGCTATAATAGCACACAACAGTTATTAAAATAGGTTTCATGGTAGATGAAGTGCAACTCAAGAGATTTAGTGAACTGGAAGATAGATTTGGAGAAATCATTTGGAATTCAGCCTAAAATATAGAGTTAAAAATTATGTAAGAAAGCAAGGAATTCTAATGTGTGGTGGCTGAACATTTTAGTAAAAAGAACAGGGAAAATCAAGAAGCAACAAATAAAGAAAAGTCCTTGGCAATACATAGATTGAAGTCCTTGAATTAAAAAAGTACACTAATTCCTGAACATAAAAATAGACTAATAATAATAATATATAGGAAAATAATATATATAGGAAAAATGTATAGAAAATACATACAGGAAAATATCATAGAAAATATATAGGAAAATATATATGTATATGTAATTGGGAAAATAAATTTGTTGGAAAATATATATATAGGAATATATGTGTATTTATATATGTATATATGTGTGTGTGTGTGTGTGTGTATCATATTTTTAGACACATCACAGTGAAACCTTACAATATAAAAGACAAAGAGAATAAATGAAAAAGTATCCAGAGAGAAAGGATATCTACACAGAGATGACAAACTGCTAGCAGATTCCTTTTAAGTAACAGTGGATGATAAAAGATGAAATAATGGCCACAAAGTACTGAGAAAAAATACCCATCTACTACTCAGAATTCTATGCCAAAGTTTCTCCTAAATTCTCATTTAAGAGAATGGTACAATAGATACACTTAAAAGTAAGGATTCAGGGAGTTGACCATTTTTATGGCCCCAATGAACTAACACATGTACCTCAGTAGGGAAACTGAACCCAGAAGGAAGACTGAGGTACAAGAAGCAACCAAGAGGAAAGACATCTGTAATGAAAGGAATACCAAATCAGCCGCAGTGGTGCACCTTCTTATCCCAGCAATCTGGGAGGCTGAGGTAGGAGGACCTCAGGTTTGAGACTAGCCTGGGCAACATAGTGAAACTCTGTCTCAAAAATTTAAAAACATGAAAAAAGGTCTGGGGATATTGTTGAGTGGTAGAAAGCTGCTGGGTTTAACCCCAAGTATCACAACAAAGGAAAGAAGTGCATTCTACTTAATATTTTCAGGGTGTTTAAAGAAAGAATGTGAACAAGAATGTTAAACAGTCACATGGGGGCTGGGGTTGTGGCTCAGTGGTAGAGCGCTTGTCTAGCATGCGTGAGGCCCTGGTTTGATCCGCAGCACCACATAAAAATAAATAAATAAAATAAAGGTATTGTGTCTAACAAAAAAAATCTTAAAAAAGAGGAAAAAAAGAAAAAAAACAGTCACATGAAAGACACAAGTGGAAAAATTAGAGTTAAAGCATTCATACACACACACATACACACACACACACACACACACACACACACACGGGATTGAACCTAGGGGTGCTTAACCACTGAGCCACATCCCCAGCCCTTTTCAATTTTTTATTTTGAGGCAGGGTCTTGCTAAATTGCTGAGGCAGGCTTTGAACTTGCAATCCTCCTGCCTCAGCCTCCTGAGTTCCTGGGATTTATAGGCATGTGCCACTGCACCTAGCTAAAAACATTCTTAATTTATTCTATTGCTCACAATATGTAAAGAAACCTATTGATTTTTAAATCTCCTGAGCTGTGTTTTATGTTAAAAGTTAAGGATCACACTCATAGAATACAGATAAAATGTATAACTTCCAAACTTGTATAGAAGAAAGGGAAATAAAACTTGGTCAGTCTAGTATCAGGGAAAAGAAAGGAGAAAAAGGAGCAAAAAATCATTGCAAGTAGAAAATATTACTTAAGATGATTAAATACTATAAAAACGAAAATAGGTTAGACTCCTCTACTTAAAACACAGAAAATTTCAGGTTGAATTTTAAAACAAAGCCAACTACATGCTTTTTTTAAAAAAAAGAGACATATTTAGTAACTTTTGCTGTGGTAGACTAACCATACCAGCCCTCTTATTGTAAACAATTAGAGAAATGGATGCAATCTGAGAAATAACTTGTTTTCAGACAATAGGTAACAGGACAACAGGCACAGAACTCAATACTTGAGAGAAAGGAAACAATGACTTGAGTTCTACTGTCCTGGATTTTGCCTGAGGTCTTTTCTCAGCATGAGGGAGAGGGAATCCCAGCAGAGCCCAGTAGTCTTACTGGGATAAGGACAGGAGACTGGCCAACAGGACAGAGGAGGGGGACTAAGGTCCCTGGAATTTGTAGGGCAGAGTACAGGAGGGGGAAGCTACATAAAGACCACTCCTGTGTAAGCTTGTGACAAACTCCAAGGATCAAGAAAGGAATGAACATTGAGGATCTCTGAGAAAGGAAGTCCAGTGCTTTGGGATCAGAAGTCCAAACAGATTAGGAAGTTTGGAGTGTGGAATGAGCTCCATTTTCTTGCTAAAAGCCCAGGGAGAGGGCAAGCCTCTAGAGTAAGGAAAGTGATGTGTCTTGGTTGATGGGCCTGGGCCAGCCTCACAGAGTTTCCTGGCACCCTCCAATGACACAGGGGAGCAGAATGACTCTGAGGACTCCAGAAGGGGTGAGCTGACAGAGTGTTGTATGTGCATGACTCTTAGAGTGACAGCCTCCTTAGATCTGGGTCATGGGTGTCATGGTTGTGGATACTCTAATCCCAGCACTGCATGGAGAGGCCCCAGAAGATGAGCTCTCTTAGGGAGAGATTGCATGTAGAAGAACCAAGGTGGCCCTGCTGGGCTTCCAGCTGAACGAGGCCATCTAAGTGACCCAGCAAATTCCCAGTGAACTCACAGAATCAAGAAAAAGAACCAACCATCGTGTTTTATGCCACTAAATTGTGGGCAGCTTGTTAAGCAGCAACAGATGACTGAGTCACCTCCCAATTGCAGGTGTAACTTAAGGGAAGTGGGAAAGAAAGCTGGTGTTGAGTATGTGTTTGCACCCAGAGGGGCTATAGTCATCATGCCCCCTCATGAGGGGCAGACATGGGGGCTGTACAGGCCAGCTAGACCTTGTTCCCCAGAAACCACTGGCATAAGGACTAAAAGTCATTCCCATGCCCCAGAAAAGACTGTCCAAAGATCCTTGCTTCCAAGATCCCTGTATCTTCTTGGGCTCCCTGCTCTTCATCTTGGAGTTTTCCAGTACCTTCCAAAAATTTAATTCAGCCAGAATTGGTTTCTATTATCTGTCATCAAAGAAACTTGACTGATACATGATACAGCCTGTTAGGACAGAAACTCAATGGTGTCTTTTGTATTCTTCAGTGCGGAGGTCACATGGCTGGCCATGTGTTGGCCTGGGCATCTGCAGTTCTTGCCAAAACGGTCACTTGAGCAAGAAGCACTGATTTATTTGAGTGGAAGTCTGTCAACAACCCTTTGGAGGCCACTGTACCTCCTGGTCCACTGCCTCCCCAGAGAAGTCTCAGCCCCTCGTCTTTCTTGCTCTTGGTAATTCTAGACATCAGCCCAGCCTGCGTCTTCTCCCCTCCAACCTCCAACACGACCAGGTACAATGCCGGTCCTGCCACAGATTTTAATTTATTGCTGGATTGATTTGACCGACTTAACTACTCCAAAGTGTCCCTCCCCTGAGAATCCTACCTCTAGTACATGTGCCATGATGTGGTCCTACTGGGTGCACATAGGATAGAGTTGTGGGAAAACCACAGCGTGATGGAAGGGCCTCAAAGTCATGGGGCATTTGGGTGGGCACATGAGTGGCATAGCCTGGACCGACACCACAGGAGCCAAGCTCTCACATGAGGTAGATCCAGTTCCCACCACATGTGGGTCTAAGGGAGAATCCCTGGGTGACAGGTATTACCGTTTCTGCAGGACAGTAACAAACTCAGTGAGCCGGTCTCGCTCCACCTCGGTGGCCTGCCAGAGGGCCTTGATCTCTGTCACTTGTGCTTGCCAGCCTTTTTGTTCTGGGGAGTCCAAGCACCTGGGACTAGGGAGGAGGGCAGAGGGCAGAGGTCATCTGAAGCCTGAAGACACACACTTACCCCTGTGATGGTGGGAGGGAGTGGAAGGACAGTCAGAGGTTCTCAGAGACAGCCAGAGAAGGAACCTAACCCAACCCGTCCTGGTCCATCATTCCTAGCCTTACTTAGCTGCTAGAGTTACACTGACCTCTGTCCATCCCATTACTGTGGGGTCTGAGATTAGTCGAGCTGCTATGAAAGCTGCCCAGGGTACCCATACCTGTGTGGTCTCTGGGGTTTGGCTACTGTGCCCAATATCAGGAGGCCCTAATCTGTGGTCCTGCCAGCTTGTCCCAGACCTTCTGCATCTCCTGGTTTGGCCCTGAATCCAGTGCACTCTCCTGGAGCCTGGACATTGGGCTTTGTGTCTTGGCCAATGTTCTCCAGTCCATCACTGCTTTGCTCCTTACCATTGGTCCTGTCTACTGGTTCCTTACCTGTTGCCTGGGGCCAGGTCAGAAGGTGAACTCTATGCTCCAAACCCCCAGATCCCATGAGTAAGTTCCCTGTTGTTCTCTGCTTGTGCCCTCACGTTTCCTAGTGTGACATTGGGTGAGCCTGGACTTGCTCTTCCAGCAATGTTGGATATAGGGAGATTACGGAAATGGGCAGCATCTTGAAGCTGGTCTTGCATGTGAGCCTGAGGGCCAACTCTCTCTGGGGTGTTGGGAAGGCCTCTTACCCTCTCTTGGCCCCAGTTTTCCTCTGAATATTGAGGGGGTTGGTTAAGATGGGTTCTGAGGACTGCAGACCTCTCTGTGTTCTGAGTCCTAAAATGCTTTAGGGCATTGCTACTCAAATCAATGGCTAAAACTATTCTGGATCAGTGACTTTAGCATGGCCTAGAAGCTTGTTAGAAATGCAGAACCCTAGTCTCCATCCCAGACCTGCAGTCTCAGAACCTATATTCAACCTAGTAGATCCCTAGTGACCTATGTGCATGGCACAGGTTGGAAGGCCCTATCTAGTCACCTCCATGATTCTCGAATGGAGCAGAGGAGATGCAGGAAGATGGGGCTGATCCCCAGCTCTGTCCTATTCCCAGGCATCCCATTAGAGTCACCTGAAGAGAGCTCTGTCCTATTCCCAGGCATCCCATTAGAGTCACCTGCAGAGAGTGGGTCAAACCATGGCAGCTCTTTCAGATATATACTCTCTGCCCCATGAACTCCTATCCCATCACTGATGGGAAGGAACTGTAAGCTCCATGAAGGCAAGGCCTATCTGTGTATTGTAGAAGAAACAGGCTTGAAAACCAGCAGTCTGGGCAGCCAATCCTGTGTCCCTGGGGAATTCAGAGGTCATAGCCACATAAGTTTGGAAGGAACTTTGAATGGTCATTTTGCTCATATCCCTGCTTTCAGAACTGTGATTGAAACCTCACAGAAAGAGTCTGCCCATCCTCCTTTTGCTGTGATGAGGCCTCCCCATCCTCAGTAGTGGCATGTGCCCTGTGGCTCTGTCAGTCTACTTGCCTCTAAGTGCTCTTGTGACCACAACCTGATGGGTAGGACAACTGCAGGTCTGACCTTGGTCCAAACATCAGGCCAGAAGTGTCCCAGGTACTTTGGGGGAGATGATAGCCCAGAGAGAGGACCAACTTGCCGAGAGCCACACAGTGAGTCAGAAGTAGGACGGAGCCCACTTGGGGACCTTGCCTGGAACCTGAGCTGACCTGCCTGAGGGGCGGGGGTGTACTGACAAGCAGGAGCATGGCTCCAGTGGACAGTGGGCAGGGCTCGGGACAGGACTTAGAGGTAGGACAAAACCATCCTTTGTCTATGAGCTGGCAGTAAGAACAAAAGGCCCATTTAAGCCCTTAGGCTTGATTCTATCAACAAAGAGAGGCCAGAGAGCTGAGGGGATATCAGTGACTTAAAGTGGGAACCCATATGAGGTGAAATTCTCCCTCTAGAGACTGATTTTCCATGAGGAAGAGAAGGCCAGTGAAGGTACTGGGAGCCAGGCCCAGGAAGATAAGGAACACAGTCTGGCATCAAGAGGCCAAGGTTCCAGTTCTCTACCAACTTCCTTGACCCTCCACATCCTTACTTAATTGAGGAAGAGTCCCTAGCTTTCACCTGGCCTCAGTTTTCCCTCCTTTGAATGGGCTCATACCTGGGTGAGGTCCTGTGGGGGCTGGACAGGGAAGGCCTGGTGAGAGCAGATTCCACCAGCGTGTGACCCAGGCTGCTCACAGAGCTGTGCAAAGGCAGAAGGGACCCATCAGCAGGGAAAGGCAGACTGGGCATGGCTGGGCCTCACCTCTGTGTGTGAGGTAGAATGGGGGCCAGCAGGGCTCCAGGAAGCCTGTGGAGGTGACCAGTGTGGGCCTTACCGCAGGCTGGGCTGGGTGGCCCTGTAGATTTGCTGCTCTTCTTTGCAGAATTCTTACTTGCTCAAAATGAAACAGAACCTGGTGATATCAGAACTTTGAGCAACCATCCCAAGTTTGTTTGGGGGTCCTAGAAGCAGATGCATTCTGAGGCCAGCTCAGAGAGGCCATTATAGGGAGCTGCAACCAGTAACCAGCATGCTCTTGAGGTAATAAACCTGGACCTAATTGGTTCGTCCTGCAGATGCAGAGCAAAAATACTGGGAGAGGCCCACGTATTGGAAGAACAACAGCCCAGTCATCTTAAACTTGTTCCTATGGTTTCCCATCAGGGGCAGCAGGAAGCAACTTTTCTTCTGAATAATTAATAATTCACTCTCCAACCCCTCTCTTACATTTTTTTTTCTTACCGAGAAGATCCCAGCCTGCTGATGTGGTTGCCTGCTGAGGCTGGAGGCTTGGCCAGACCCTGGTCCTCCAGGAGTCTGGTGTGGGCTGGGTGGACCTCAGGCCCGCTGGACTCCTCACCCATTACTTTATTCTGAAGATACTGTAGGGGACAGATGTGGGTTCAATTCTCAGAGCTTTGGCACAGTGGCCTGGAAAAGGCAGGAGGGGGCCTTGGCTCCCTTTCGGGGCTTTCAGGGGAAGTGAAAGAGGCTTCTTTTCAGAAGTGAAAAGCCAGGCCTGTGTGGTGAAGGCACTACTTGCATGATAATGACATCTAATAATGCCTCTCTTCAGAAAGGGAGCTACATGGTATGAGCTCGGTAGCTGGGCCAGGAAGTTGTCCCAAAGGGAGGTGTGCAGCCTTAAAATTGGGGCAGATTGGAGATTGATATCTGCAAGCAGGCCCCCTTCTCAGGGCAGCTGCACATAAATGCCAGGCATGACTGAGGCCAGCCCCCTTTGGCAGTTGGAATACCTAGACCTTTCATACACATCTGGAGCCAGAGAGATTGGCAGGGTCTCGGCAAGCACTAGAAGCCTTGGGTGAAGGCTGGGCTTCCAGGTCCCCTCCCCTCCCACCACCCCCTCCTCTCCTGGATACTTGGAGGGGCCAAGCTGAAGAAAGAACATTAGAGGACTCTCCACAGGAGGTCAGGCTGTCATTAAGGAGTGGACAGTTGGTGTGAGTTCCTAACAAACGGGCAAGACCCCACTCCTAGCCATTCTGAGAAATCTTGCAATAGATGCCATCTTGTCTATGGGTAATGCTTGGTCCCCTACTGGCTGGTGACATCTGATATAGGATCTGTCCTCTCTTGTATGCCTGGAGCAAGGACAGTGATGTGAAGATTCTGGAATGTTGCTTCGTGCCCTTTCAGAAGTCCCTCCCTAGTGAGCTGGGGATGAAAAGCGAGGTGAGGGCTACAAAGCAATATTCCTCCTCCCTGTCACACTGATTCTGTTCCAGCTTTCCTCCTGCTCCAGGCCCTCCCTCAGCCCTAAGGGCTTCAGCATTCTTTACCACAGCCAGTCCTATGGTCCCAGGCTATTGTGGCCCTGGAGATGGACTGCTATGTAGGACAAATCATGCTGGACCAAGCTCTCACACCTCTGACTGGACCATGAATCCCTAGAAATAAAGGCAGGGCTGCTCTGTGACACACCGGTGGCTCTGCCAGTCAATCTCTCAGTGGAACAGAAACTATAAGTCTTCTTTGTCATTGGGGGACCTTCATGCCTGTCACAGAATCTTTATCCCCAGAGGCCAGTGATTCCTCTCCCCACACCTCAAGCTGGAGATGCCTGACTCCTAGCAGCCCCAGCTGTGCCCTCAGGCACCTGCCATGGAGCATCCACTGTGTGCTTGATTCAGGGGCAGGCACCAAGGCATGATGGGCTGTGCCCCCTTGAAAAGGTTTAGCTTAGGGCTGCAGAGGGAGTTGGAGAGTGCCTGGGAGGGCCACACAACACATTCTGGGGGTCTGGCGCTTCCTGGAGGTGCTCAGGACTAACAACTGAGGGGTAGAGCTGGCCAGACAGAGGCAGCTAGGGAGGAAGTATAGGTGCTCTTCAGGTTGGAACAGCCCTGGAGTGAGGAGAAAGCAGTCATGTGAGGAGCGAAGTGGCATCTGTGTAGCAGAAGATAGGAGGAAGGGGAAAGGTGATGAGAAGATGCAGGAGGAATGGCAGCAAGAACAGGTCACGCAGCTAACTGGAATCTGGATGAAGTGGTGTGGTCTTCTGGGGTTGGGGTTGTAGCTCAGTGGTGGAGCACTTGCCTAGCATGTGTGGGGTACTAGGTTTAATCCTCAGCATCATGTAATAATCAATAAAATAAAGGTATCATGTCCATCAACAACTAAAAAAAAATATTAAAAAAAAAGAAGTGTGCCTTTCTTTCCGCTGTCCTACTGACAGCAACGTGAACATAATGGCTGGAGCTAGAGTCACCATATTGGATTAGGAGAATGAGAGCCAGAGCTGGAGATGGGCGGCCTGGATCCTTGAGCACTGAATAAAGCTGAGGTGATGGGAAGCCATGGGCAGATTTTAAATAGAGTGAGTACACAACCAGATTTCTTTAGAAAGGAAAGGTGTGTGTGGAATGAGACAGGGAGCCAGATGGAAGCAGGTGGCTGAAGTAGAGCCAGGAAGGATGTGGTGTGGCTTGGCTAAGGCAAGTGGAAAGAAATGGAAGGAGCTGAGATTTCTCTGGATGTGGGATGGATTTACCAGGGCTTGGAAATGGATGTTGGGGCAGTGCCAGCACGATACTCACCTGCACACCAAGTTGCCCGATCTCTAATTCCAGCTGCCGCACCTTGGCCTCACGCTCGGCCACCATGGCCTGCAGCTGGGCCACAAGGCTGCTGCTCTGTTGGGCCTGGCTGTTGAGATTCTGGTCCATTTGGTGCTGGGATGTGCGCATCTTTTCCTCCTGTAGATTCAAGCTGCCCAGAATGTCCTGTAGCTGCTTCAGCTGGTCCTGGTGGGTGGGCAAGCAAGAGGATAGATGGGGGTCAGTGGAGGCTGCTCTGGGCAGGTAAGGATAAGAGGAGACTGCTTCCCCACCTGGAGCAACCCACCCCTCCCCCTAGCCACTGGGAACCTAGTGGTGGGACACTAACTGTCCCACTGAGAAGGAAGAACACATTCCTTGCCTGCCCTGGGTGGGGCTCAAAGCAGACAAGTGGGAAATGTACACATCTTCTGTCCTTAAATTCCTTCTTCCTAAGATGAGGACTGAGAAAGATATCAAAAGAGCTTTCGAGGACAAGAGAAAGTTACTCAGAAGGTGGCTCCTCAGCTGGTAGGACAAATATCTGGGTAAAAGAAAGCCTGATCCCACTGGTTGGGAAAGTACCTTTGGAGGCAAGATCTAGACTCTCCCAGGGATTCTTTAGCATCTGGCTGAGGCCCCCATCCCTGAAAAGGGAGACTGGGGTGGGGGCAGGAGCCTCCTGCCTGGGGGCCATCACGAAGGACAATGTCAGTGATTGGGAACAGGTTGGGGGCTGTCGTCCTCACCTCCTAGTGAAGGAAACTAAGGCTCAGAGAACCCAAGGACACATTTCTGGTGAGTGGATGGAACTGATTTACAGCTCTTATTATGCCATCTTCAGTGCAAAAGATGGTGGCATACATGGACTTCAGGGGACATCTGCCCTGTACCCTATTTTAAAAACTGGTTTCTGAGACTCAGAAAGGAGATGCACTGGGCCCCAGGACATCCAGCAAGGTACCAATGGAGGCAAGCCTATCTTACTGTTCTACAGCAAGCCAGGCATAACATGCCTGGGGTGTGTGGGCACAACTTAGAATTGAGACACCAAACTCTGGGGGTACTTCAGGTCCCACAGAGAAAAGCCCAGGCTGTAGGAAAGCAGTATGGCCTTGCTCATCAAGGACAGGTTTATAGTCAGGAAAACCTGCTTTGAGCTGAGCTGTGTATTCTTGGATGAGTTATATGACCTTTTTGAGTTTTGGTTTCCCCATCTGTGGAAAGGGATTACACTACATGGCTCTAGAATCAACCATCATCACACAGGCAAGGGTCTGCACTGGCCCCTCAGCTGTCCCCTCATTCCTTGTTGAAAAATAACCCATGGTGTGATCCTGTCTCTTCCTTCTTTCCCCCATCCTTTTCTTTATCCTTTGAGGTCCATACAGCCAAGGCCTGAGCTGGGTACTGCCGTCCTAGCCCTCTTCATGCCTCAGGCAACCCCTCTAAGCTGCTTCCTGTCCCAGGGGTAAGGCCCTGGTGGTGCGGCCCATCTGAAGGCAACACCTTCTGGGTTAAGCAGGTGGCCCTCTGTGGGAGTGAGGGCTCACTCAGGCTGCTGGGGCTGGGTCTCAGGTGTCTGGGAGGCTGGTAGCCCATCCTTTGGGAATCAGGCCCTGGCTCTTGCCCTGCCAGAGTGGCTGGGCCATACCATGAGGGCATCAATGAGCTCGTCATCATGTCTGCCCTTCTCCACCAGGGTCCCCATCTGGCTCCTGAGGGTCTTCACTTCGCTCGATAGCACCTTGTTTCGAGACTTCACTCCCTCAGACTTCTTTCTCAGCTCTTCCAGCTCTTTTTGGAGGGTATCCCGCTCCCCAGCAAGTTTCTGTAATTAGAAATTGAGGACAGGGCAGTAGGGCTGGGTGGGGCCTTGGCACATCTGGTCCCTGGCTCCCACTCACTGGGGAGGCAGGGGCTGAGGCTAGGGGCACTGTTGAAGGCTGTAGAGCAAATCAGTAGAGCCGGCTCTGACTCCCACCCCCACTCCTCAGGAGTGTCAGGCGGGTCCGTGCCTCCCAGCTTGCCCTAGCACTTGACAGACAGCACTTATGGATGGCAGTGCTCCTGCCCTCAGCCTGAGAACTCCGCCTTCCATGCACATGGGAGAAAACCCACAGGCAAATCTTGGTGTGACCTCCAGAAAGCTGCCCCACATCTTAGCCCCCTTTCCAGCTAGAGAAAGGAGAAAAACCACACTTTAGGGAAGAGCACTAAGTCTAGGGTTCAAATGGGAGCTCTTAGCCCCTCAGAGCTTGAATGAGAAGTTGCCCTGCCTCCCCATCCTCTCACCTCCTCCACCAGCACCCAGCACAGCATCCCAGACTGTGCCTTGCTTGGTCAGTGATAAACTGGAGACTTGCATGTTGCACACATCTTTGAGGCTCTCATTCCTTCATTCTCAAGTGTTTCCTGAGGACCCATTATATGCTTGGCATTGTGATAGGTGCTGAAGGTACAGCAGAGGACAAAACAGAGTCCTCATTCCCAAGGAGCTGATAAATGCCAACTGAAGAGTGGGGGAAAGGAGTGGGAAGATGGAATATGGTCAAGCAAGGGCTTCCCCGAAAGGTTATAGCTGAGGAGAGACTGAAGACAAGAGCAAAGATCTGGGGTGGAACATGTGTGGGTGGAGCACCGTGAGTGAGGGGGCAGCTCAGGGGCAAGGGCAGAGGGGCAGAGGCCAGAGGAGGAAATTCAAAGTTAGCTCTGAGACACTGAGGGGGAGTTTGGGATAGTGGGTGACATAATCTGACCTGGTGCTGAGGCTCACTTAATGCTGGAAACATGTCTTCAGATCCTCAATGGGGTAAATTATGGAAACGCAAAATGAGTAAAACAATATAAACCCACAGGACCATGAGCCCTGTGGGGGGAGGCAGCCGTTGTTCACCTGTGCTCTGATGTCACGCTCTGGGCTCTAAGGGACAGCGGGCCATTTTCTCCCACTAGTATTGTAGCTTATGGCTGGTCAGCCATTCAAGATGCTCTCTGGAGTGTGAATGTGCAAGCCCAAGCTGTGTGCATTTCAAATCTAACATTTCCAATCCTCACCTCCCCTTTGCCCCTTGAACCTATTTCTATTTCCCCTAACCACATGTGACACTCTCTGAAAGTCCTTTATGATTCTACCTACTCCTTTTCCTTCCATGTTCAGTCACTCACAGAGTCCTGGAGTCTACTCTTAATGTCCAGGTGTCCAGCCCTTCCACTACAGTCCTATTATCATGTTGTAGGTCCTTGGTCATGTCTTGAGCAGATTATGCTCTGCCTCCAATATCTCCTCCGCCTCCCAACTATGTGACATTTTCAAAAAGCACAGTTAGCCATGTTCATTCACAGCTTGAAACCCTTTGGAGATGCTCCACTGCCTTCAGGATAAAAGCCCGCCCCCCCTGGCTGGCATTCAAGGTCCAGCAGGTCCTGGCCCTACCTACCTCTCCACTCTCACTGTTCCCCCTCCTCATAACTGATGGTCTAGAATGCTGGGAGGAACACGTGATGATGGTCACCAGGTTCCCAGCACAGGGTCCAGCCTGGAGTTGACACAAATGGAAGCCTCCCAGTGAAAAGTTTAAGGCTTCACTATCAGGAAGGACACTGTCTCAGGGTCACTAAAGTGGGCCAATTGTTTGGCTTTCTAGCACCTCCTCCTGCTTCCTCAGCTACTTTCTTTGAAGTAGACCCTACTTCCTACTCTCAGTCCAAATCTGGGGAAACTGACTCAATACCCAAACTTGGTACAGGTATCTGACACCTGACCAATAAAACCCCTCGTATCCTTGGCCACAAGGATTGGCTCAAAGATGGGCACCTGATCCAAGCTAGGCCAAACTTTGTTGGAACTACTGGGATAGGCCCTTTGTCTGTGGGGGCTGGGTTAGAATAGAGAAGTCAGGACTACCAGGGATTCCCATGGGAGCAAGTAAAGTCAATCCAGGAGAGAGTGTACTAAGACAAGATCTAAAAGTCCCTGGATCCATCCATACCTGAAGCTAGGACACTTCTAGGCTAGTCATTTACACGGGCTAATAATTTCTCTTTGATGCTTAAACCTGGTAGAGTTAAGATGTTCAACACCCTCAAGCTGCAGACTCTGCTGCTGATTCCAACTTGCCCATCTCTTTTATTAGCCTGGAACTCTCTATCCTCCTTTAAGACCCATCTAATCTTACTCCACTTTTGGAGCTATGACTCTCCTCCTTGCTCCCTTTCACAATCAAGGTTACTCAAAATTCACTGAATGGTCCCTGGGCGAAGCCCCATCAGGCAATTAGAGCTAGATTGATATGAAGCAAGGAACATGCCTAGAGGTGACCCAAGGCCCCAGGCATCTCCTGCCTGTGGGGAATGCCTCAGACCCTCCCGGGAACTCTGATGATCTTCCTCCTGTCCACCTCACCTCCTTACTGGGCATGCATTACCTCCCAGCCTTCCTGTTTTTCCCTTTCCAGGCTGCGGATCCTCAGTAGGTTTTTCTCCTGTGCCGACAGCTTCTTTGGGTCTGGGTAGATAGGGAGCTCATCATTGGCTGTTCCTGCAGATCTACTCCGGGTCTGTCCCAGCTGCTTCTCAAGCTCCCGAACCTGAGGGTGGGAAAACTTGCTCTACCATGTGTCTGCACTCAGACCACTACTCTGAGGTGCCATGGATCCTGAAGATGGAACCACTGATCCAGATGGCTGTGGGAGCCCCAGACAAGGGGGCCTGGAGTGGAAAGATCTGAGTTGGTATTTTGAGCAAAGCAGGAAGACACTCAAGAGGTTTAGCTTAGAAAAGACACACTTCAAGGTGAGAAAATCACCCCACTTCTGAGGGGCTGTTTGAGGGCAAGAAGCAGATGTATGGCCCCAGAAACCTGGAGGGATAGGAAGGCAAGCCTCAGTACAAGGAAGAACTCTAATAGACAGTGTGGAGGGGGGAGGTTCTTGGGAGATGGTGGGCCACAGGCAGGAGAAACAGCAGAGGGAGGTCAGGGTTTGGAAGTGAAGAGCCTGGCTCAAATCCTCACTGGCTGTGTGATTTATGCACACCTTACTTAACTTCTCTACATCAGATCTCCAGGGCAAGGGTATAGTTATCTGCATCTTAAACCAAGGCTATGGGTGACTTTTAAGATTAGGCGATGTAGAGAAACCCCAAGATGGCCCTGGTGAAGCCCTCAACACAGAGCTCAGCACACATGGGCTCTCACAGGTCACAGGTAGATGTCATCCCACAGAACAACACCTTTATCACACTGGAATCTAATCAGAGAACTCCCAGGGTCCTTCTTATACTGGTTTCCATGTCAACACAACCAAATGATGGAAGGAAGTTGGTGAACTCGGGCCAGGAGAGGAGGCAAGACTCACTAGGATCACTGGTAAAGGGCAGGAGCATTGCTTTGAAAGCTCAAATTAGTGCCCTCCTGTGGTACTGTATGGTAGCTCCAGTTAAACCTTAAAGAGCACAGCGTTAGCTGAAGTTATTTAATATACTACTTGAGTGCTGACTGTGGCAGGCACTACACCCAGTGCTTTACAAATATTATTTTTATTATCATTATTGGTACTGAGAATTGAACCCAGGGGTGCTTAACCACTGAGCCACATTCCCAGTCCTTTTAAAATATTTTATTTAAAGACAGGGTCTGGCTGAGTTGCTAAGTGCCTTGATAAATTACTAGGACTGGCTTTGAACTCATGATCCTCCTGCCTCAGCCTCCTGAGCCGCTAGGCATGCAATACCACGTCCAGCCAAATATTATTTCATTTAACCCTATGACACCCTACAAGGGCAGTATTATGATCTCTGCTTTGCAGATGGGAAAATAAGAGATTTGCCTGAGGTTACAGACTAATAGAACAGTGAGAGGCTAGATTCAAACTCAGATCTCTTGGATCCCAAGGCCTTGCACTGATCAGCAACTAGAGGTTTTGTTTTTTCTTTTCTTTCTTTCTTTTTTCTTTTTTTTTTAACCTTCATGTTGGCTTCAAGTAGACCCTGAGAATAAAAGCCACTAGTCATGACCCTGACTGGGAATGAAAGTGATGTGCTCATGTGTTTTTCAGTTTAAGGGTAAAAAGAAAAAAAAAAAAATCAGTGCTGCTAATCTTTGTCTAGGCCTTTCTCTGGGCCAGGGACTATGCCTAGCACTCTGTACACATTGACTCATTCATTCCTCCTGGCAACCCTGGGGGTAGGTGCAGTTATCTCCATTAAACAGATGAGGAACTGAGGCACACAAAGGAAGGAATTTGCTTGAGGTCACCCAGCCAGTGAGTGGAGAATCAGGGCTGGAATCCAAGCAGCTGGACTCTGGAGCCCCTGTTTTCAGCCTCCTTTGGTCTGCTCCAAAATATTTAGAAAACAAAGAGGGAGACAAGGCAAAGTTTTTATTGGGTAATGAAAACTTTCAAAAGACAACAAGCATCTGGATGAAACTGGAAAAAGCCTACAATTACAACAGTCACGCAATCTTACGTGAACCAGGAAAAAATATGCCTGGAGAAGAAGAAGTCAAACCAAAGGCATTGGCATTCATTAAGTGCCAGTGCCTGGCATGTGGTGTTATGTAAGTGCTTGTTCATTAAATAACAAATTAAAATCAGGCTGGGTGGAGAACATAAACACCGGCCTGAGAGTACGCTCTGCAGGACGTAGGCCTTTGGAGCTCTGAGCGCTCACATCTCTAGCACAGGTCTCTGGGCCTTTTAAACCCTCTGTTCTGGGCCAGGAGCGGGGTGATGACACACTCACCTTGCTTTGAAGAACGAGAATTTGTTGAGCCCTTCCCCTCCAGGTCCCTGGAGAGGACAGGAGCTGCTGGATGTTCACATCTTCCCCAACCTCACTGGACAAAACCTGCAATGAGGCAGCGTGTTCAGAATGGCAGGAGACAGGGCTCCACCAGAAGCGGTGCTGGTGTGTGGGACTCCTGGGGGCAGCCTGCACCACACGCCCCACTTCCACTTCAGGGCGTAGCCCTAAAGGCTGGTTTGCCACTTTCCTGGCTCAGCTCTCCAGGGAAAGTAGCAGATCCATCATTGACAGAGTTTCTTCATGATGCTTAGAGGAGCCATTGCCAGGAACTGCTAGCAATGGCCAGGTAGGTCCCCTTGCTCATGGCACATTCTGTAATGAGTGGACCACAGGGCTGACCAATACCTGCTTCCTTAACCCATTCACTTATCAACTAGACCTGAGAGAAGTCTGGATGGCTACAGGAAGTACACGGCCTCAGGGTCTTGACCTTTACGAAAAGCCACAGACCAGTGGCCATCTGAGTGTAGCAAGGAGGAGTGCTGGAGTGGCACTTGAGGATGCTGTGCTTCAAGAAGGGCACAACTCTGTGGCTACTGAAGTGCCCTGTTCAGCTCCACCTCAGGGGCTGAGGCGGAAGCAGGACACTCCAGTTTGTGACCTGAGCTCTCTGAAGCCCAACAGGAAATCCCATTCGGTGCACCAAGTTACCAAGTCCTTGGTGCTTGTTTCCACAATAGAATGTTGTTTTGGAAATCTTGGCTGGTCTGAGAGGTTCCAGCAGGGAAGACAAATGCCAGAGAATTCACTACATAAATAAAAATAAACAACAAACCAGCTGGGCCTCCAGGGCCTGTGCCCTACGTCTGAGTGCTTTCCTTTGAAAGGGCCCTTTAATGCACAAACCACCTGTTCATTTTCTGATACTACAGATAGCAGAAGGCAGGGGGAAGGTCTTGGCAGAATTTTGAGTCAATGATGGCTTATTAAGTGGAGACCCAGGATCTATTAGGGCACAGGGAATGTAGGGAAGGCTTAAAGGAATCCCCCTGGGTGGAAGGGGTATCCTCCCTTAGTCCAGAGCTAGGCAGGCACCACAAAGGAATAACCCTAAGGCAGCTGGTGATTGCCCATCAGATGGGACTATACCAAGGAGCCCTGAAAGGAAGTTACTGGATGTGGAACCTGACCCAGAGCAAGCAGGATGCTCTCTGGCAGGGCACTCTCTGCTCCTGGACAATGGAAGCTGTGTGCCAGCTGTGCTCTTCCCAAGGCCAGCCCCGGCCCTCAACAAGTCCCAAGTTGAACCCAGGTTCTGAAAGACCTTCTGGGTCATCCGGAGCTCCTGCTTCACGGACTGAACCTGGTTGCGCAGATCACTCATCTTCAGGTTCATGGTTGCCAGCCTGTCCTTCAGGGCCTTCACCTCTGGAGTCTCCGGCTAGTTGGCAAGAACAGGGAGAAAGCAGTCACTTGTTGCCTGAGTTGTAATAGCAATCAGCCCCTATTTATCCAAGTCTGCACCGGGCACTGTGCTGGGTGCTAGGTGCTTGGTGCTTCCTAGCATGGACTCTCTCTGCTGTGCTCAGAGATGGCATCACAGCTAGTTTATCTGCCCTTAGAAGAGGGAGGGAACTTGTTCATTCACAGAAGGCCACTCCAACTTTGCAGGAGGGCCATGACCTTCCTAATTCATGGTCTCCCTTTCCCAGAATCACACTGATCAATCTGGGCCTTGTCTCTGACAGATGAGGGGCTTTGGGTTCCCTTGAGGGCAGTGTGCTCACTGAACAGAGAAAAGGACCAGTTTCCCCCCTAAACACTCCATCTCTGAGACTTAAAAAGCTGCAACAACCATGGAAACTGACTGTTGGACCTCTTAGTGATGTCTTTTTGCTTTTTTAAAAAAATAATGCTTGGGGCTGGGGTTATAGCTCAGTGGTAGAGCACCCGCCTAGCACATGCAAGGCCCTGGGTTCGATTCTCAGCACCACATAAAAATAAATAAATAAAGGTATTTTGTCCAACTATAACTAAAAAATCAAATATTAAAGAAATAATGCTTGATGCAATGTTGCAATGTTTGGCTACAGCTTTTTCTCCAATGAGCTGACTACCTCTCTGTCTTCTATATACACTGAGGAAGCCTCCAAGATCAGCCCATTCAAACTTCTTCCATCAATGATGAAAATAAAATCCAGAGAAGGGAAGTAACTTGCCCTCGGGCACACAGCTGGTTGGGGGTGACATAAGTAGGAACAGAACCCTGGAATGGACCCTGTTCTGGTTGATCTTCCCAATTTACGCAGTTGCTGCTGTTGCTGTTGCTGGCAGCAGTAATGATTGTTGGTGGACTGAGCATCACCAAGCAATGATGCTGGGTCCCTCTGCTCCTGCTCCAACAGACTCAGAGTGCTGGACTTCTAGGAAGCAGGGTGAGGGTATAGCAACGTTCTAAATCTTCTTCAGTAGGCACAAACAAAATCTCCTGTGGGTACCATTATGAAAGACAGTATGGGAAGTTCCATGGACCCCAGAGGCTCTGAATAGTTCAACTGAAAACCAGCAGTCAAAGAAATTATTTGGACACATGGTCTAGAAACCCTGATGGTATTTTTCCTCATCTGTGGAATGGGTGTCCTGCTTCCTCACAGCACCATCATGGGGCTAAAACAAATAACCAGTGTGGACAAAATTTATGAACTGGAAACTTATGTGAAATACAAGTATATCCTTTTGTAAAAAAGACATTTTTCCCATGTCTCCTGCATGTCTGGCTGCCTGCCATCCCCTCATTGCTATTGGGTGCCTATCTTCTTGCCTGTTAAATGTGTGGCTTTGAATCTGTCCTGAGCTGGAAAGTAACACCTACTTCTGCCTGTCAGATCTTCATGCCATGAATCCCAGTAGTCCTGGCAGCCCTGATGCTGAGGGCTGAGGGAGTACATGGGCTTCTCCTGGGGCTGCTATGACCCTGCAGCATCTCTCTGGTCAGAGCATGAAACTAGCACCCAGGTTGAATCTGGCTCTAGATCCTGGTTAATGGTGCCCTCTCAGCCTCCTGTCCTCACCTGTAAAGTAGGGGTATGTGATATTCATTTCTGTGTACCTGCAACGGTTGATGGGATAACTCTAGTAAAGGTACTATCTAGGCCAGGTTCTGACAGAGGGCAATGCCATGGGCCCTTTCTCAGCTCTGGCAGCCAGTTGGCAAAGTGGACTGAGGCCAAATGATACTCTGGAAAGGGCTGGGCCAGGGCCTAGTCCTTTTGGGCAGCTGGGTCCGGCCTACCTTGCAGCCATTTTGGACCTCTTTCTACCCAGAGTAAAATTCTATAGGCTTTAGGGGGGACCTGGTATAGGCACATCTGCAGCCATCCTGGGCTGTTTCCTTTGAGGGAATAACTGGAATGCAGACCAGGAGAGCAATGCCAACAGTGCTCATGCCTCAGCCTCACGCAGCCCCATGCAGAGCACGGGGCCTCAGCTCCACTCTGGAATGTACTTTAGAGGCGAGGCCAGAATGTGGCAGCCTGGGCCACCCCACAGAGTGATGAGGGGGAGCATTGCTCTTATTCTCACTCTGATCCTAAGACGCCAGGGAAAACATGTGGTATGGATGAACTGAAGCTTGCAGCCCCGCACATGCTCTTCTGTCAGAAGCTCCCCAGGCTGCCCAAGGCCACAGAACTGAGTAGAAACTCCTGCTCCACTACCTTCTGAGGACCCCCTCCATGGGTGACCCCGCCCCAGCTCTTTTTGGCTCACATTCCTTTTCCCTGCTGTGGGCTCTGGGCTGTAGCCCAAATGCTATCCAGCTGGCATCCAGGTAAGCAAATTGAATGGGAAGGCTGAGTGCTTCCTAGCCTTGGCCCTGGCTTGCACTGTGCTCCTGGAAGGCCCTTCCTTTTCACCAGAAAAGCCAAGTTCAAGGATGCCCCCATCTCTCTTCTAGCTGATTTTCCTGAAGGGTATACTCCCTTTGTGAACACAGTGCCCTGGGGCTTTCTCTGAAGGCCCTGTCTGTGTCCTTCTTTCACATGGCTATTTCTGTCCCTCTTGGATGCCTCTGGGGACAGAGGTCCTGTTTTGATTCCTATGTTACAGGGCTCAGAAAATCCCAACAGGCTCAACAGGTGACTGAACAAATAGTTTCTCTTTTAGGGATCTCTCCAGGGAACATGGAGGTGCTTGATGTTCTGGATAAACCTGGGGCAAATTAGCAGCATCCCTCAGAGCCAGGAAAGGCCTAGAAGAACACTCAGTCCAGTCCCTGCCAAGGGCAGAGTCTCACTTCCGCCTCCCCAGCAATGAGACAAGTTTACACAAGGCTAGACTTAAGGGGACACACACACTCCACACTGGGGGACTGAGTCCTCAAGACAGGACTGAGGTGGACTAATCCTTCAACACGGCAGAGGGGGCAGGAAAGGGAGCACCAAACTAGGAGTTCTGGGCTCAGCTTCCGGTCACCAATTGACCTGGTTTCCCAAGAAAACCCTGGTGAGTCCTCCCACGATATTATGTTTTTGTTTTTGGCACAGAGGATTGAACCCATGGGTGTTTTACCACTGAGCTATATCCCCAGTTCTTTATATTTTATATTTGAGGTAGAGTCTTGCTAAGTGGCTGAGGGTCTCACTAAGTTGCAGAGGCTAGTCTTGAACTTATGTTCTTTTCTGCCTCAGCCTTCTGAGTAGCAGGGATTACAGGCATGCACCACTACATCCAGCTCCTCCTGGGATGTTCTTGAGACTGATGCTGTTTCTAGTCTGGCTTGGGCTACCTGCCTCTGGCAACCCACTGGGTTGGCTTCCTTTCATAAAGCTACAATTCCTACCTCCTGGCTTTCATGGACTGTGTGCTGGTTTAGTAAAAATAGGATCTGGGGAACAAGCCCCTATTCCCCAAATTTACTCTTATTCTGTGGTTTTGGAGCTCTGCAAAAAGCAAGACTCTTCATAGTATGATTGCCCATAAAGAACAGGAACCCATTGGGCAAGGGTGAATTCCCTGTCCCTGGGGCAAGGTAGAGTTGGATCTCCCTAGTGAGGAGCTATAAAGGTGATGATTGGACTGTAGCAGAGGCCAGTTAGTCCAGGCCTGCCCTTCTGGTGCTGAGGTTCTAGGATTCCAGGGGCCTGAGGTCCCTCCCACCTGCCCTCTCTGGAGAATGAATCAGAGCTAGATCCACCCTGGGGTGTAGCCAGGGCATCCTGGCCTCAGGCCATAGGCTGCCTAACCTTCCTGATAGCAGCTCTGAGGAGGCTGCAGTGGTAGACAATGAGCCCCTGTCTCAGCAACAGGTGTGTGTGGGTAGGCCCTGGCAGAGGCACCTAGGCTCTGCTCTGGTGGAGGAGGGGAGGCCCTGGCTGATAGCTACCTCATGCACTCCCCTGTACAGAAGAGAATTCATACCAAGGCTTTGTCTCCCAGCTGGGCCCTTGGTGGCTTGGCTCCTGCATCGGTGGACCCCTTGGCTGGCAGCCTGGACAGGGCTGTCTGCAGCTGAAAAAGCAAAGCATGCACTTAATGTTTAATTCTGCTCCACAATTGCACAGCTCAGCTGAAGTGCTCTGAGTGTATGGTTACCTGTCTTAGAGGTTTGTCCTTTTAGTTCACTTTAGGATCATTAATGGAAGAATTCTCCTTTACTAACTGCTCTGTGATGGGAGAGGGTTTAATTGATTGCCTCCCCCACTCCTCAATTGAATGGTAAGAAAAGTTTAAGGCTAATAACTTAATAAATAATAATGCTATAGTCATAATCTGTCTCCAGGAATTCTATCCAGAGCCAAGGAGTGGAGAATAAAGGAATTATGGACTTCAGGTTACAGATGGGACAACAGAAGTAGAGACAGAGATGCTGCCACATTGGCTAATGGCCTCATGGCGAGACTGCTGCAGACATCCAGACAACTGAACCTTTAATTATTTCTTTATTGTTCTTTGCACAAAGACCATACCCTATCTGACACTGTGAGGCATGGCCCACTCTCCAACCTCTCTGACCTCATCTTGTGTCTGCTCTTGACCATATTCAGGCCTTCATTTTGCTCAGGGCCTTTGTGCCTGCTGAGCCCTCTGCCTGGAGGCCATTCCCCACCTACCTCTCTGAGTCTTGTATGTATGTACCTACTCCTTCCATGATATCTTTAAGCAGCTCCCGTCCAGGCCCTCATCATCTCCTTGCCATGGCCATTACTCAACATGTTGCTCTCCTTTACCTCTGCCATGGTTTATTCATAGTCATACCCAAATCTGTATTGGTCTGTCTTCCAGGAGGCCAGGAATCATCCTTCCCTACAGTCTCCTCCAGGGCCCAACAGAGACCTTACATGGTTCTCAAAAAATACATCACAGAAAAAAGGAGCTCTTATTCAAGGCCAAGTGTGATGACTGACATGGATTCTGGAAGGGTCTGAAATGGAATATAGCCTAATACTACCCCATCTGGTGTGGCCTGAGAAGGCCTCTCAACCTCTGGCAGCTTCATTTTCCCATGTTACACTGGGAGAAGCTGTGAGGTGTCCCTCTAGCCTCTGGATCCATTCTAAATCCTAAGGGACCCTGAGCCATTTGGGCTGTGCTTTCGATTGACCATCTGTGGGATCATCTGTGGGAGGGCAGGAGGCTGCAAAAAGGAAGAGGGACATCAGCAAGATCTACTGATGGAAGGTCTCTGGCTCTGGCTTCTGATGAGCAAGGATCTCTGTGAATTTATTTAGCAAATGTTTATCTAGTGCTTACTAGGTGCCAGGCAGTGTTCTAAGCACTTTATAATGTTAAATCATTTAATCCTCATAAAGCCTTAGAGTGGGTACAATTATTGCTACCATGTGACAGATGGAGGATGCTGAGACACTGAAAGCTTATGTCGTGCTCACAGTCACAGATCTATCAGTGCTGGAGTTGAGAGCCACACCCTGGTAGTCCGGCTCCAGTTCTGTACCCTTAGCCACTCTGCCAGGCTGCCTCTCAATGGCCTGTGTCCCCTTGCTTTCCCTCTCTGGATGTGACAAAGACTGAGGAACTCACTGCAATTTCAAGCCCTTCAGAAGAACCCAAAGCATCTAATGGCTCTCTCTCTGGACCAGGGCGCTAGGAGTGTCTACCCCCCCCAAGGAAAAATGACTTAGGCCCCTCACTTCCCGCTCCAGCTCCTGGATCCGATTGGTCAGCTGCTTCATTTTCATTTTCCCACCCTCTGACTCTGCCATCAATGCCCGATTCTTTTTGGAGAGTTCCACAATTTTGGTTGCGACTACATCTCCAGCCATACCGGCACTCCCTAAAATGAAAGAAATGGTGAGGTCAATTAAAAACACAGGTCTACACATCAGACTCATGCCACACCTCCAACAGCACCAGGGTTTAAAAGCCAAAGTACTGGGAATGAATGGTCACAAAGGGTAGAGGTCCCGCAGAGTCACCACATGCCAAGGAACCCTAGGAAATGCAGCCACTTAGATTCAGTCTTTCCTCAGTTGTTCTAGGAAAATTGTAAGATCAGAAAGCAGACTTTTACTACACTGAGATTCCATCTCACCCCAGTCAGAATGGCAATCATCAAAAATACAAGCAACAATAAATTTTGGCAAGGATGTGGGGGAAAAGGCACACTCATACATTGCTGGTGGGACTACAAATTGATGGAACCACTCTAGAAAGCAGTATGGAGATTCCTCCAAAAACTTGGAATGGAAACACCATTTGACCTAGTTATACCACTCCTAGGTTTATACCCAAAGGATTTAAAATCAGCATTCTACAGTGACATAGCCACATCAATGTTTACAGCAGCTCTATTCACAATAGCTAACCTATGAAACCAACCTAGGTGCCCTTCAACAGATGAATGGACAAAGATGTTGTAAGATATATATATATATATATATATATATATATATATTACACATATATACATACATACACACACACAGACACAATGGAATATTACTCAGTCTTAAATAAGAATGAAATTATGGCATTTGCCAGTAAATAAATGGAACTGAAGAATATTATTCTAAGTGAAATTAACCAATCTTAAAGAATCAAAGGCCAAATGTTTTCTCTGATATGTGGATGCTAATTCATGGTAAGACGGGGGTGGGGGGGGATAGTGGTAGTTTGGATTAGACAGAGGGGAGTGAAGGGAAGGGAGGGGTATAGGAGTCGAAATAATAGTCGAATGAACAGACATTATTACCCCATGTACATATATGATTACATGACTTGTGTAACTCTACATCATGTACAACCAGAAGAATGAGAAGTTATATTCCATTTATGTATGATGTGTCAAATGCATTCTACTGTCATGTATGACTAATTAGAACAAACTTTTAAAAACATTTTAAAAAGCAGAGTTTTAGTTCTGTGGGAGACAGGTTTATTGCTCTTCACCTAATCTCAGTGATGGGATTGTAATTCACACCCTATGATCTGTGATTTTCCAGTGTCCTCAAATGATCAGGGTGCGGTGTCCTCAACCCTCCTATATCTGCCTGGCTCTGGGCTTTGGCTGATGAGATGCCAACAGCTGAGGTATGGGCAGAGGCTTGGAGAGCATGCGTGTAGTTAGGCTTGCTCTGCTCACATATGCCATCTCCACAAGAACAAATCCATGCCAGCTAGTTGATCCCAGGAGAAAGAGGGGCACATGAAACAAAGCTGAACCATTACAACCAAGCCTGGCCTAGCTCAACCAATCTCCAATTAACCCCTAGATGTTTGAGCTAAATAAATTATTATTGCCAAATGCTGCTGAGATTATGTAGTTGTTTCTTACACAGAATTTTGTGGTAACATCTAACCAATATACATTCATACATTCACTCAGCAAATGTTTACTAGTTTCTACCAAGTACTTGACCCTTTTAGAGATTCAGGGGTGAATAAAAAAGATGGATGGGATTTACATTGTAATTAATTATCTGTAGGGAAGACAGATAATAAAACATCAAACAAATAAGTATTAGAAGATCTGGAAGGAATAAGTGATATGAAATAAAAAGAGAGGCTGAGCAAAAGATGTTAATGATGGGGTGATGCTACTTGACCTGGAGCAGCCAGGATAAGGTAATATGTGAAGAGACCTGAGTGGATAAAGTAAGTAATCAAGCCAAGAGAAAGCAGGTTCTCAACTAGGAAGAGTGTTCTAAGTTGAGGATACAGCAAGTGCACAGGCTTGGAGATGGGGGCATGCACGGGGAGTCTGAGGAACATAAAGTAGGCCGCAGTAGCTGGAGGGCTACTTGCCGTGGGCAAGGGAAGTGGTTGGTGAGATGTGAATGGGGGGAGTTGCATGTTGTGAGGGCTGTGCAGAAGGCAAGCAGTGAGAGCTATCCCAGATTGGCCACTGACTGCCTGGGTAGCCTTGGTAGTCACTTGTCTTCTTTGGAGTACAGTTCCTCTACCTGTGCAATAACAGTTCCCTGAATGCTTTTGACACTCCAGAAGTGTGTGACTGGCAGGTGTTTTCTCAGTTCTACTTTTTAAAAAGACCATGATATGCTGAAGAACAAGATAGAAGGTGACAACGAATAAAAAGCAAATGGTAGCCCTTGGTGGTTTTTGAATTACTGCAGTCCAGGCCTGCTACGGGTAGTTAGGAACAGCAGCCCTCAGAACCTCACATCTGCTGAAAAGGCCAAGCACACATCAGGAGAAAGAGCTCAGAACAGACCTGGAGCCCTGGAGTATCTGGAGGGAGACAGGAACTGCCGAGCATCAAGAGAGCACACTGGGTCCCTAGCTCCTTTAACAATTTATGGGCAGGGAGGGGATATCAAGGGTCACTGGGAAAATCATCAACACTAGCAATTTAAGAAACACTGTTGTAACACCAATTCTGGTTCTGGTTGAGACAAAGTCAGCACACTCTTTCTTTCTCACTGAATACAACTAAAACCCTGGGACAGTATGTGTGAAGCAGCTACCTGAGGGCTCTGGAAGTAAACGGCAGCAAAGCATATGGGGGTAGGAAACCAGACCTAGAAGCACAAATGATCCAGAGGGGAGTTTCTTTCCCAGGTCTCAGGCAGCACAAATCCTAGAACTAGCCATCAGAAAGAGGTCAAGGGAAGCCCTCTTTAGTACAAAGTGAAGGAAGAAGAGCCTGAAGTGAATGAAGAAAATCATTTTTTCTTCCTTTTGTCTCCCAATCCTGTCTCCAGGCCAGTCCCACTTCTGGGGCTGTCCCCTTGTTGTTAAATGGTGGCAGTAGGGGAATGGGAAATCCCAGAAATGCTAATAGCTAAGTATATAAAATAGACTAATTTCATCTCTGTAAGTTTTTAAGACTTATAATGTTCGTAAGCCAAAGCTTTAACAGTGATGGAATTACCAGTTTTGTAGGTGTAATTCACATAAAGGCTGCAATTTATAAGTGGGGAGGGTGAGGAACCTATGTGGTGACAATACTTCTACGTTCCACTTGACGTGGTAAAACTCTAATCCTAAATAGATTCTAAAAAGGTGAGTATGTATTTTGTAATCACTAAAGCAATCACTGAAAATCCAAAGAAAAATAGTCCATCAGCTGTCAGTAGCCTGTCACTTGTGGCTTGGTTTAAAAACATGAACTGAACCAGTCAGACCTCTCTCTGGATTTAAGCAGTCCCTGTTATCCTGATGAGGCCATCAAGGAGTCTGAAAGTTGGCCAAAGCAGCTTGTGGCAAAGAACAATGGACAAACCCAGGAGGAAGGAGCAGCCCAGGTTCTCCCTCCAGGCTCTGCTGGGATGAAGATGGGTCTCCTGCTCCCCCTGGTGCCCATCAGCTTCTCGACAGCCTTGCAAAAGTATAAGCAAGCTGCCCCTGGAGCAGCTGAGTCTGAAGCCAGGTTGTGTCTATCCTCGCAACACAAAACTTATCTACAGGGTTTTTGTTTTAGACAGAAAAGGTCAAAGAGTAGGATAGGCACTAGGGATTTTAGGACACCAAATTCCTCTTGTTTTTTAATTCAGCATTGACTGATCAGATCTTAGTTCTGAGCATTTATTTTCAAAAGCAGGGAGTGATGTTGGCAGGTGCTGGGTCAGCTCTGTTGCTCTCTATGATTGGTAATACCTACTTTCTGGTATTTTGGCCTCTTGGGAAATGTTCAGTGGGTGTACACATGACAGAGCAAAATCGGGGCCAGAACTCCACCAAATCTGCAAAGCTAAGGTCAAATTTATAACCGCAGGGCCAATGTCCTGCTCACACCCACAGGGTCAAGTTCATCCCCAGCCCAACAAAACCAAGGACCACAGGGCCAAGGTCTCCACCAACTGAGCCAAGGTCCAGCATAGACTCTGCTGAGAGGAGCTGGGTCCCAGGAACTTCTCCCAGAATGACCAATGTCCTTCCTGGAAGCAAGGCAGATGCTGTAGAGTTAAAGCCTGCTTCTATTGGACCTTCTTAAACATCCTTGATGTGATGTTTGAGCCAGAGCACCAAGGAGAAATAGATCCTAAACATGATGGAGACCCTGGCTGGGTCATCCACATTGCCTTGATGATTGCCTATTGCCTTTGCTGCCCCTATTGTTCCTTGGCATGCAGGCCTCCCTGGCTGCTCTCTTCTTCTACCCTCTGCCTCACTTCCAGAATTCATCTGGACAAACGTCACCACAACTGACTCTTGGCACTATCTCTTGGGCACCTGCCTTCTGGAACCATGCTAACTCCCCTGGAATTCAGGGCAGGACTGTTGCAACAGTGGTGGAGCTACCTGTGAAGGCAAGTCTGTCCTCTTCTATTTTCTTTTTGAGGTGCTTGATTTCAAAGTCCCTTTCCTTCAGCAACTTATACAATCGCCCGTTCTCATCCACCGTTTCTCTGAGCTCCTCCCGAAGTTGCTGGATCTCATCTTCAAGCACCCTGTGAGGCAAAAGAGGGCAGGTGGGCAGGGGTAGGGCCTCTCCTGCCCAGGCTTGTGGTACTTGGGTACTAGGTGGTGATAAGAACTTGTTTGCAGGGCTGGGGATGTGGCTCAAGCGGTAGCGCGCTCGCCTGGCATGCGTGCGGCCCGGGTTCGATCCCCAGCACCACATACCAACAAAGATGTTGTGTCCGCCGAGAACTGAAAAATAAATATTAAAAATTCTCAAAAAAAAAAAAAAAAAAAGAACTTGTTTGCACAAAATAGGAAAGAGAAACTAATGAAAGGCTTGAGCAGATTTTAACACCCTGTTCTCGGATCTGAGTGATTAAGCAGGTATTCCCCACATGAGTGAAAGGAGAATGAAGGTTTGAAAAACATTGTTTATTAGTTGGCTTCAAGACACTGATATAAAACCTGACTCAGGAAATTGACACAACTTTCAAGCATCCAAAGGACATGCATAAAAATGAATTGTAGGCTGTAAGGCAATCTGAGCAAATTCCAAATAAAGATATCAGAGAGATAATTTCCCCTAATGGCAATTAACCAAATTAGAAATCGATATTTAAAAAATTAGCAAACACCATCATATATTTGGGACTTAAAAAACCTGAATTATATATTGTATTATGAAGCATTTAGAATTAATAGACCACAGAAGCTATATCAAAACTTGTCAAAGGCAGCTATAATTAAGGCTATGATTTTCTTTCCATTTCTTTAGCTGCCTTGCAAAAGTCTGGATAAGACTTATACACACACACCCACACACCCACACACACACCCCAAACAGGAATTTTCTAAGTCTTAGGTTGAGGCTAGGTTTCCAGGTTTCAGGCAAATTTGACAGAAAATTAGAACAGGAGGTTGATTCTGTGTATTCCAAATTGTACTGGAAGGGTCTTTCAGAACTCTAAACCACTAAGAAACCTGTGATCATGTCTGTTAGGCACAGAACAGACTCCCTAGAGACAGTTGCTAGCAAAGTAAATATTTTGTAGGTTACAGTAATTATTAGGTAAATTCTTGTTATTATTGCTGCTATTATTATTATTATTTTTATTATTTTATAAAAGGTTCTAGTCTCCACTAATTTCAGTTTCTCTGGTTTGGGATAGATCATTTGGAAATAGGTCTGAGGTTAACTTGAGCTTATATATAGGAGTTTTATGTTTTTTTCTCAATTATTGACAATTATTTTTTTCCAACTGACATTTTTAAGTAGGTCATTTAAAAAACGAAAAATCATAAAAAAGTAAAATTTGAAGATGGAGAAAAGAGACTCTGGGAAAAATCAGAAGCAGAGACAGCTCAACAATGCTTGTACTTTTTATGGCAAAATGATCAGCAGAAGATTTTGTATCAATGCAGTCTCCTGCTTCCAATAGCCTTATAGATCAATGTGCATCTGTGTAACACTGTTGAATATAAAACACACTAAGAAGATTCTGGATACCTTTCAACTTTTCCACCAGCTTTAAAAAAGCCAGGAATCTACCAAGAGCTTCTTTAGGACAGGGTGTGTTCATGCGTTGCTATATGTGAGGAAAGGAAAACTGGAAGAGGAGAATAAACTGGAAGAGCAAAATGGTCCTAGATGGGATTTGGAGCAACAATCATGTAAAACCATCAGTCAGCCAACCGGTTCTTAGAGACGCACACAGTTTACACCAAAGACTGTGAAGGAAAATCCAACGTATAAACCACACCTTTAATGAGTTTAAACATGTTCCCTTTGACTGTAAAATGATTTTTAAATACATTTCATATCTATTTACGTTCACAGGAGCACAGCTTTATCAGATGCAACAGTCTTTAATAAAAACCTCTGTATCAAAACCACTTTCAATTTAAGAGGCTACATTGGGTCAAGCTGAGCTGCTGGATGCCTGCACCTGTTTCTCCCCCACCTCCCCTACCTTATGTAATGTTCCTGGAGAGGTCAAACTTGCATTTACCTCTGCTCAAAGATGTTTTTCAAGTTTTGCTCCTCTGTGTGGAGAAGGCTGAGGCCATCGGAGATCTCCATGGATTCTTTTTGGTCATCATCTCTGCTTTCCTGTTCCTTTTCCTTTTCCCTCTTTTTCTCCATCTGCTGCTGTAACCTTCTGTGCTGCAGTTCCTGCATCGCCTTGAACTGGAGCCTCAAAGTATCCTGTGAGCCTTCGTCGGCTGCCATCTTGCCTAGGAGTCAGCAAAGAAGCCTAAATCAAACTCCACACTGAGTACTCAGTACACGGTCAGCCTTGTCTGCAGCCTGGAGTTTGTTGTTGAGCTTTGCCTGTGTGTTCATGTGTGTCCATGCAAATACTCAGGAGCCCCATTGCCACTCTGGATCATCTGAAACCCAAAGCTGAGCTGAGCCTCCTCCCCCAGCCCTGGACTTGCCACCAGACTGCACATGGCATCAGGATGCACCCCATTATGCAGATATGATATTTGCCTGTCTCTTAAGTCAGAGGCTCTCAACTCTAGCTGAACATCAGAATCTCCTGAGAGGTCCTAAAATAGAAGAATGCTTGGGCCCTTATCCAGATCAATTAGATCCCAATGTCTAGGAATGGGGCTATGCATCATGACTTCCTTTTCTCTTAAAATTGAGGTATAATTCACATACAGTAAAGTGCATAAAGCCTGAGTACACAGCCCAGTGAATCCCCCAGGTGTGTACTTCTGTGGTGACCCACTGCTGGGGCTTAGAAAATAAAACCTCCAACTATGGTGTTTTGGACCTGCTGAGTTGAAAATATTTCAGAATCAAGATCTTTCAGACCTATTCCATCCCCCACTCCCATCTCTTGGTCTTATTTCTCCTCCTTAGGCATAGGAAAGGGCTTTTGCTGAATACAGTATGTCACCCTGAAACTCATGTTGAAATTTTAATCTTTGTTGTGAGGTACTAGGAGGGTAGAAACTTAGAATCTGACTGTGGTGGTGTTTAAAGGTGAGACCTTTGTGAGTTGATTTGGATTAGATGAGGTCATTAGGGTAGAGTTCCCATGACTGAATTCTAGTAGCTGTATAAGAGGAGAGAACAAAAAGACACATATATACACATGCTCCCTATTTTTTGCCATATGATGCCCACAACCCCTCAGACTCTGACAGCGAGAAGGTCATCACCACAGCCAAGCACAGTGGTGCATGCCTGTAATCCCAACTACTCCAACTACTCAGGAGGCTGAGGTGGGAAGATTGGTGAGTTTGAGGACAGCTTAGGCAACAGAGCAAGAGGCCATTACCAAATACAGCCTCTCAACCTTAGACTTCCAGCATTGTGAGCCAAAATCAACTTCTTTTCTTTATAATTCACCCAGTCTTCAATATGGTGTTACTGGCAACAGAAAATGGACAAAAATACATGCATCATCTAATTGTTATAAATCCAGTTCTCCATAAAAACCATCCAATCTGACCCCATATCTCCCCACAACACACACTCCCAGTTCTCATTAGCATGCTACTCCCTCTCCCTGGAACAATCCTCTCTCTGACATCCACCTCACTACTTCCTCTTAGATGTCATCTTGTCAAAGGCCCATCTCACATTCTACTGGAGTAAGCATCCCTGTCCTCACTCTGCATACCCCTTACTGTTTTTATCTTTCTCCATAGCACTCAGCCTCACTTGATTAATTTTGTATTTATCTGTTTATTTGTTGACTGCCTGTCTCCCTCCCCACCAGCTTCATCATGGTGGGCATTGTGCATTGCTCACTGCCCTATCCTCAGTGCCTCTAAATTGGTTCCTATGCCCTAGCTGCCCACTCCTCCTGGCCCCACTTGTAGTCCATCATGCACTGGTTGAGGGACTGGTTTCTCTAAAGTATAGCTTTGAACTTGACATGCCTCTTTGCAAAAAAACAAAAAATAAAACAAAAAACTGTGATGCTCATTAGCCACAGAACTAAATCCAAAAGCATTAAAAACTTTGGGGGATTTGGCTTCAGTCTCTCCTTCTAGCTTGTTTTTCTTTCATAATGCTAAGTTCTAATTAGTTGTGTCCACTTGCTCCTTTGTCCTGTATAAGCCCCCTGCTGGTCCTTCCCTGACCCAGCACTAATACCACGTCCTTTCCGGATCCTCCAGGAACAGTACTTTCCCAACTGCTTTAGCCATACCTTCCTGATACACCTATCTCTATTTTATGGTCCCACAACCTCTACCCAGTGGTTCTTAAACTTACTTCCATTATGAATCTGCAAGGACACAATCTAAAAATACTGATTCCCAGGTCATATCCCTAGAGAATCTGACTTTGTTATAACAGTCTGGAGTGGAGACCAGGCATGGAGCTTTGTAAGAGCTGCCCAGGTAGCTCTAACATGCTGTCTGTGGACTGAGCCCAGGGTTGGAGAAAGATCTGGCCAAAGCAGGAGCTGAGACTATGTTGAAATTCCTCAGCAGATAGATTTGCTCAGTAAGAGAAATTGCACAGGAAACAATTAACTTGCAGGTCTGGTTTGTCTACACTTTGTGTGTTTCAAAGAAAGGTTTCGCCCTTAACTTGCTGCTAGGAAATAACCTCTAAGCCTTGGAATATCCTGCCTGGTTAAGAGTATCTTTCTTCACTTGAGGTCCTTGGAACACTCCAGATAGTCTGTGCTAAGAATGTGGGTGAGCATATGGTATCTGCTTGACCTCTGGAGGGGCTGGAGATTGAGTGACTAAAGTCAGCTATGCCAGTGGTCAGCCATTCCTTGGTGACCAGCTCCCAATAAAAACTCTGACCACCAAGGTTCAGGTGAGCATCCCTGGCTGGTCATACTTGATGCATGTTGTCACATGTTGGTTTTAGGAGGAATAGGCATTGTTTGCATGACTCTGCTAGAAGAGGACAACTGGAAGGTTGTGCCTGGTGTCTCCTGGACTCTGGCTTTCTTCCCTCGCTCATTTTTATCTGTAGTCTTTCACTATAGTAAAGCATAACAGAGTATAATATGATGGCTTTTCTAAGTTCTATGAGTTCTAGAAAAATCACTGAAACCAAGGGTAGACTTGGAGACCCCTGAACTTCAGGAACCCTAGAACATTTCTATTGAAAGTGTTATAGTCACAACCACCTCAGTGGGTTCAAAAAGATGGGGATACCCAAGGATATAATGTAAACATAACAACTAGACTTAATGTTTTACATTTCAGGCAAATTGTACTCCATGTTTTAAATTTAGACAGGGATCAGCAAACTTTTTATGTTAAGGGCCAGACAGCAAATAGTTTAAGCTTTGTAGGCTATATGTTTTTTGTCACAATTACTAACACTCTGCCATTGTAGCAGAAAGGAACCAGAGACAATGTGTAAACAAATGGTTATGGCTGTGTTCCAATAAAACTTTACTACAAAAAGAAGCAATGAGCTGGATTTGAACCATAAGCCCTTAGTTTACCAGATTGTTATAGAGGAATTTCACCTGAAAAAAATTTCCAGGGATTGATGTAAACCTTATTTCAGTCTTTTATTTGAAAATTTAACTAAAACAGTTTAAAATAAATTTATCTTGTGATTCCCCTTCTCTTTGTAGATTACAGGGAGAGACAACCATATCCTTCAGTTTCCAAACTGCGTTACCTTGGGAAGAGAAGGGATGTGCTATTATTAGTAATCACTCTTCATCAAAGCAGGCCAGGAAAACAAATTAGAGTGTAAAGTAGTGGTTCTCATTCCTGCTGCATGCTGGGTAACTAGGGAGTCTGAAGGTACTGGGGTCTGGGTGCCATGCCAGGGATTCTGAAGTCATTGATAAGGGTAGGGCCTGGGCATTGGATGCTGCTGGTTTGGGAGGCCATATTAGTAGGATGGCCTGAGCGACAGCACCTGGAGTTCAAGGTGGACTTGGCTCTCAACCAGATATGTGTGAATTTTCTAGAACCCTCCAGAACTCAGTCCCTTCTTCAGTAATTAGGAGATGATGGTACTGAGGTCACAGATGTGCGGTGAAGGGCAAATGCAAAGGGCAGTGTGAAAACATTTTGTCAACTATGGACTGATAGAAACAGTATCTCTCCCTTCCTGTTGGTTTCTTTGGAGGACTCCCTTCCTCCTCTACTTTACCCAACATCCAGATTCTCATGGTGACACTAGTGACCCACTAGCAGAAAGTCTTCCCTGGCTGCTAGGCCAATAGTGACTAAACCCTAAAATGCCACTGTCTCTAGCCTCTGTACATACCCTCACGTCACAGGGTCACTTCACCCTCCCAGGACTTTCCTGTCTCTGTACCTGATCCCTCCTCCCTAGCAACTTGGGTCTTGCACATTTATCCCATTAATCCATTCTGTACACGACCATCTGGGACCTTTCTAAAACAAGATCGAAGTAGCTCCTGCCTCTGCCAGACCCCGCCAGGATTCAGGGGGGAAAACTCTGTCTGGCTTGAAGGCTGAAAGTATCCCACAGACATTTTTGTTCAACTCTTACAGAGCACTATGTTAGGATTTGATTTTTTTTTTTGCCAGCATTTAAAGATCTATAGATTTTAATTAAATCCATATCTGCAGATTCTTTTATAAGTTAATAGGTATGGCAGTACTAGGCCTATAGTCCACATGGTCAGCAGGCACTAGGCAGAGGGAATTCCCTCTGTGGGGGGGTATGTTCTTCCTATTCAATCACTGTCCTGGCCACTTTTGGAAGCAGCAGCTGGCACATCAGCTGCCCATTATCATTGCACATAAAAGTTCTTTATCTTACACCTTCTGGATTCACCCATTTCACCATTTCATTTCCTACTGGTGCCTGAAGATGCCTGGGTTAGTGACTCTTGCTAAGGATCAGGCTCAGAGGCATCTCAGGCTTTCTTCAGCAACTTCCCTGCCGAGGATGCCTCTCTCCTATTACCTGAGTTGGCCCTTTACCTTTCCACTAACTTCCATTTAGTCTTTAGGATTCCCCTAGGGGCATTCTGTGGACTCTCAGAATCTCTTGGACATACCCTGGTCACTATACCTCCAATATTATAACTACCTATAATTTTATTTATATTCCCTTTACAAAGAGGTCTCTTAAAGGCAGGGCCTTATGTCTTATTCATTTATTAATTCTCAGCATCTTGCCCAGAATAGGCCCTTAATTGGTGTTCGCAGAGCTATCACTGAATTAATGTAGCCAGTGCTCAAGAATGAGAGAAAATAAAGTTTGAAGAAGTAAATGAGTGAATGAACAACACAGTAACTTGTAAAGTTTT